CATTAAGCTGCTAATGAACATGCCCTTATTTGTGATTGTTGATATATTCCATGTGGTCATATATTATAATCATTGAGCATTCATATCTATTGCAACTAGCTAAGTGCATGCTGATCAAGTTTTTGATGTCTTCAAGCACGTTTGTTAGTAGCTTAATGAGATTTGCAATTTATTCGGTCAGCTATATATGACTGTTTGGCAGTGGCTTAATTATATGGAAAGTGCCTTATTCATTAAGCTTTTAGGAGGGAGTTCTCCAAATTAAAAATCATGCTTCTTACATCTATGAAAAAAACCCTTCCAAACAAAAACCTTCCCAATTTATATAGACAAATTAATCCACACAGAAAGCTTTATCCATACAGGACTTAATGGAAAAACCAACCAATAGCCCTTCATCTTCTAGACACAAGGCTGTCCAAACTTCCTCAGTTGCAAAACTTTTTAGTTGCTACAAATTTTAGCCTGTTTTATCACTGTTTTCCTTCCTTGATTTTGCCTCTATTGTGTACCCTTATTCTCTTAAATCGTTCATCTGATTGGGAACCAAACTTTTGCATCAGATTCCTGGACAACGGTATTGTCCATCCACAGAAACTTGTAGGAATTTCTGCAGAAACAAAGTTAGTTTTGACAGATCTGACAGTTTTCGAATCTTTAACTCGTTCATTGAGAACTCGTTCATCGAGCCAGATAAAGAGGTGAAGATCTCAGAACAAGAAGCTCAAACAGATCAGAAGACATGCCTTGACTGCTGCTTTAATAAAACAGTTCAGGTGTGATTCCCGTAAACCTGCATTGATGAAAGATGTCCCGTTACTCAAAATCGAGGTTTCTATGAAATAATTACCACCAACTTTTGGTTCGACAGGTTACTGGAGATGTCTGTGTCACATTCTATGAAAAGAATATCGGGGGCCGTCTCTTCTATGCTTGTTTCAATACTGCTTTCATCGAAAACAGCTCGCTACAGGTACTGAAACAAAGTTCTTCAAAAATATTTTTCTTATGTTTCCTTCCGTCCATACGTTCTATGCTAAATGTTCTGGTTTGGTTTTGTTTCTGAAATGCCTTAACTTCCTACTTCCATTATGTATTAGAGGTGATCATTTGTTGGATTAGGCCGGGCCTAACATATTTCTTTTGTCCAACGGGCCTACTATAGCAAACCCAAGCCCATTCTTACGGGATTGAGAACTTGGCCCGTACCACCCTATAAACGGGCCAGGCTCATCCACGGGCTAACGGGCCTAAATTTTTCTCCACTAGAAGGTAGGGTCTTGGGGTAGATTGTACGCATACATTTCCTTAAGCTTTTTAAAAAAGGATCTTTTTCTTTCATCGGCAAAAATGCAACCCGATTACATAGACCAGGATGCTCCCTTATATCTCACTTAGAGGTAGGGTCTGGGGGTAGGATGTAGATAGACGTTTTCTTTACCTCAAGAATGCAACCTGATCAAAGAGGCTAGGATTTTTCTATATATCTCATTCGGAGATAGGGTCTGGTCCGTTGGGGTAGGCTCAGAAGTAGGGTCTGGGGATAGGATGAAGCTAGACCTTTCTTCTACCGTAAGGGGTAAATATACCATTTCCGTGAGGATCTATTCTTACATAGACCAGGATCTTCCCTCCATTCTTTTTGCATGATTGTTGTACATTATAAAACAAAATAACCACATCCAAATATAAGGGCAGCTTGGGAAATTCACCGGTACTTGTACCCTTTCTTCATTTGCTTAAAGAACCTATTGTCTAGTCCTTTTTGTGTAAGAAAAATAAAATAAAAAAGCAAAAACGTTGATAGAAATCCGCTTTTCTTCCATGGTCACATACTTCAATTCTTGCAAATTTACAATCATTTATGTTAGTGTTCACGTTACTTGTTTTGCACACACTCACAGCTGTAGCTTATTCTCTTGTTTCTTTCTTTTGTTTTGCAAGCCGGGGGTTTTCACTTTTCACAAAAGTAGAGGATAGATCTTTTGTACATCCTACCCTCCCCAGACGCTACCTCTTCATGGGATATACTGGGTTTGACTTGATTTGGCTTCTAGGAAAAGTCTGCATACATCCTACGCTCCACAGACCCTACCTCTTCACGGGATATATTGGGTTTGGTTTGATTTGGCTTCTAGGAAAAATCTGCATACATCCTACACTCCCTAGACCCTACCTCTTCATGGGATATATTGGGTTTGATTTGATTTGGATTCCAGGAAAAGCCTCCATACATCCTACCCTCCCCAGACCCAACCTCTTCATGGAATATACTGGGTTTGGTTTGATTTGGCTTCTAGGAAAATTCTGCATATATCCTACCCTTTCCAGAACCTACCTCTGCATGAGATATACTAGGTTTGGTTTGGTTTGGTTTGGCTTCCAAGAAAAGTCTACATACTTTCTACCTTCCTAGACCCTACTTCGGCATGTGATTTACCGGGTTTGGTTTAATTTGGCTTCTAAGAAAAGTCTGCCGACATCCTACCATTCCTAGACCTTACTTCTGCATTTAATTTACTGGGTTTGGTTTAATTTGGCTTATAGGAGAAGTATGATCCTACCTTTCACATACCCTACTTTTGCATGTGATTTACCGGGTGTTTGGTTTGATTTGGCTTCTAGGAAAAGTGTGCATACATCCTACCCTCCTCATACCCTACTTCTGCACTGGATTTACCGTGTTTTGTTTGATTTGGCTTCTAACTTTGAGCCTTTGGACCCTCTTGCAGTTTTCCATTTCGGAATTGGATAAAGTTGGAAACAAGGGCAAATCAATAGCGGGTCCCGAGTTCCGTGTGGAGTTGCTCTTTGGTCCCGCACCCTAGCCACTCGTCCCCAGCTCCATCCGATGGTAACGATCCTAGCTGAAATTCTGACCGTTGATTTAGCCCTGGTTCGACATTCTTCCTTTGAATTTTTGAGGAGGGGAGTGCTGATTTATTAGGAATGGCAGTACCTAGATGTCAAGAAAAAAGCCAGAAAACAATTCACCACATCTTTAACTGATTTAAGTTGTTTTGCAATATATGAAATTAATTAACTTGAGTATTTTGTTCATAGGGTAAAAACGGATTTAAAATGAAACGAAGTTTGTCTTGGTTTCTATCGAGTGCAATGATGGTTCTTTTTCTTCAATTTTATATGCATTTTGACATGTGGATCTTGTAACTGATACTGGCATGGATAAAGCTGTCTGTGCGGATTGATGTCTACGTAGAGTGGGAAGATATTTGTTTGAGAGTTTTTGTAATGGAAGGAGCAAGTTTTTTTAATTCGGAGGGATAGGTGCAGAATTTTTTTGGATTTCTGCATAAAACTCGTCCTATAAGCTTATTGAATAAGTCACTTTATATATCATTAAGTCACTACCACAGTCATGTATAGCCGACCGAATAAGTTGCAAGTCCCATTAAGCTCGTTAAACTGCTAACAAACAGACCCTTAAGCAATTGTTATAGTGTGATTGTTAATGTGAGCAAAAAGTTGATTACCGTCAACCTTAACCGGCCCAACACGGAACCCGCCTCCAAGGACACCAATGTGGGGGGCATTTTTTGGCTCACTTAGCCGCTAAGGCTATTCAGGGGAGGGCTCAAACCCGGTAAGGAAGGGAAGGCCAAGGAGGAAATGGGACGAGCAATTGACGTTAAACATGACAGTCTTAGATAATTCCGATGACATGATCTCTGATAAGAGCACTCCGAGACATATGATTAGGGTAGTAGACTAAGAATGGTGAAACTATAACTAGCATAGTTGGGCAAAAGAGAGTTGGGGGTTGTTTGGTAGTTGCTGAATAGTTTGGTGCAGAATGATTAAGAGACTCTTATGATATAGTGTAAAATGAAATATGAGTGTTTACAATGAAATTAAGACGTTTAATAGTTAAGGGAGCCCAACATGCAAAATCATACAGAGGATTTAAAAATCATTAGAGACAGACTTTTTTTGTCAAACAAGATTCAGCTCTTAAAGATTCAGAGGTTGTCTCTTAATAGAACTGTTAAGAGGTAAACAAATAATCCTTTAGTGGAACTATTCTGACACCCATACATACTATTCAGTTAACAAAAAAGAAACATTGATAAGATGTTCATCATATTCATTTAAGACGTACCGAATTGGCTATATGGATGGCTCCTCAGACTATGAAGAAGCAAAAAAAAGATACGATAATAAATAATTTTTTTTAGAACTGTCATAGATTTAGGGATGTGTAAAACCCGAATTGTTCGAAACCCGAACCCAAGGCCGAACTGAAAATAAAGTATTTACGTAAAACCTGAATGCCCCGAAATCCGAAAATTGACATTTTTGGGGAAAATTCAGATATGGGTTGGGTTTGATTTTTGATCATGCGATCCGTCCGAAAACCTGAATTATATATACATATATATATATATATATATATATATTTTAAATACTATATAAATATACTTATTTATCTAATTATCTTTTGAAAATTCTAAAAATCTTAGTTTGTCGTGTTTTTTTTTTCTAATTTCTAAGCATACTATCGATTTATTAATCATCTAAATCGATTGAATTCATCATCAAAAATCAATTGGATATTATATATTATTTGCACTATAACTAAACCCGAAACCGACCAACCTCAATATGAAACCCGACCAACCCGAACCCGAAGCAATCCAAAATCCAAAAATTAGGGCTTGATTTCCTTATCCGAAATCCGATCGGGTTTTTGATTCAATAAGTTTTTTTGTCACTTTTTATCAATTATACACTTTATTGATATTAATGGTTATTTATTATTGTTAATTATCAGTTAATATTAATTACATTAAATTGGAATTATTATTAAATGTTAATTTATAAATAAAATATTTTTTATTAACCTGTATATCAATCTGTTATGCGAGCCGAGCCGACTAATTCCAAGAAGACAACCACCTGCTTTACGTGTTGGCTGGAGTCGTCGCATTTGAACCTCTGTAATCACGAAGAGATTTTTTTTCCTCCTCAAATTTGAACATGAAATCTTCAAACACTTAACCTTTAGAACCCAAATTCAAACCAATCAGACGCCTATTAAGTTGGTAGATCTTGTGGCTCTCGTTGGTCGATAAAAACAATTGATTTTAAATTATTTTTTACTATAAATACCAATCAGACTTGGAGGGTTGTTCATTAAATACTTATTGGGTAATTGTTTATCTGTAGAAGTGTCATCCTCATTTATTTTATCGGGTAGGATTATCGATCATTAAAATAGACCGTTGATAATCATCTTTTACCTGATAAATGCTCAACGAGCAAGAGTTTTTTCTCCTTAACATATCGCGTAAGATTTTCGGTTCCAATTATGCCTCTTACACGGTAAGATTATCATACTCACTTAAAAGATAAGTAGCACCCAGTAAGCGCTTATTTAGCATGCGTTTGATAAACGATCCTTTATTTTAAATTAAAAAAATTCTAAGGTAAAAATAACACAACCACAAGGGTGGTGTCTGATTAGTTTGAGCTTAGCTCCAAAGGTCAAAATGACCAGGAGGTATCAGGTTCAAATCCAAAGAGGAATAAAAATCCTCTTGTGACCACGGAAGTTCAAATGCGGTGACTCCGGAGTCCGGACTATCTACAAAGCAGGTTGTCGTCATGGGATTAGTCGGCTATAATAAGTGATACAACTGACTCCGTACAACCGGCTATAATAACCAATCCAACCAGCTACAATAGTCACCACTCACCATTAACTCACCACCATCACTCCACCGTCAATGTCGACCGCCACCGATCTACGCCACCACCAACCACCACATATTGCTCTCTTCCCAAGTGCCGGAATGGGCCATTTAACCCCACTCCTCCGTCTCGCTTCCATGCTAGCTTCCCGCAACTGCCGTGTAACCCTCATCACCGCCCAACCGCCCGTCTCTACGGCGGAGGCCTCCCACATCACCGCCTTCCTGGCGGCGTATCCCGCCATCAACCGCCTTGACTTCCAAATCGTTCCTTATACACCACCAAACGCCGCAGCCGCTGCCGACCCTTTCGCACTCCAATTTGAAGCCATCAACCGCTCTGTTCACCTTCTTACTCCAACCTTATCTTCTACATCACCACCGATCTCCGCCATTTTTTCCGATATTGCATCAGCTGCCGGAGTTTGCCAAGTTGCCGATGATCTTCGAATTCCGATCTATATCGTTTCCACCACCTCTGCTAGATTCACCGCCCTCTTGCCACATATTCCGTCGTTAATCGCACCTGGAAGCTCCATAACAATGGCGGAAACCTCCGTTCGCATTTCTGGTTTAACTCCGTTTGAAATCTCGACGCTTCCACCGCCGTTTTTCATTCCGAATCACGTTTTCACGAATACTTTAGTATCAAACTCTCTTGCAATGAAAAAAGCCAAAGGCATTTTGTCGAACAGCTTTCATGCATTTGAACCAGAAACAATTTCGGCTGTTAATGGCGGCAACTTCATACCCGATTTCCCCCCTTTTCTCCCAATTGGACCTCTAGAACCACACAAATTAGAACTAGGTGATCGGCAACCACTTCCATGGCTGGATCAACAGCCACCGGAATCGGTGGTATACGTCAGCTTCGGAAGTAGAACCGCCATGTCAAGAGCTCAAATCAGAGAGTTACGAGACGGATTGGAGTTAATCGGGCGAAATTTCTTGTGGGTTTTGAAATCAAGGATTGTGGATAAAGAAGACACCGAAGATATTGAAGAATTACTGGGAAATTCGTTTGTTCAGAGAACAAAATCCAAAGGGATGGTGGTGAAAGGGTGGGTGAATCAAGAAGAGATCCTTTCACACCCTGCAATCGGGTGTTTCGTTAGCCATTGTGGATGGAACTCGGTGATGGAGGCGGCGGCGAGAGGGATTCCGGTGGTGGCGTGGCCGCAATTGGGCGATCAGATGGTGAACGCCGGAGTAGTGGAGACGGCGGGATTGGGGATTTGGGAGAAGGGTTGGGGTTGGTTGGGGGTGAAGCTGGTGAAGGGGGAAGAGATTGCAGAGAGGGTGAAAATGGCGATGGATGATGAGAAATTAAGGGAGAAAGCAAGAAAAATTGGGGAAGAAGCAAAAACCGCCATTAGAGCCGGAGGAAGTTCTGATAAGGCGTTGATGGAGATCATCCATGATCTTCAACAATAATAAAAATCCAATCAACAATAAAAATCCCTTTGTGGTCACGTTAAAATGTGATGACTTCGTGCTATCTGTAAGTTGGATATCCGATTAATATTATATTAAATCATGTATCAAAAATAAAAAAATAGTTAAAATAATTAATTTAAACCTTTATGCAAAAATCCGAGCCCTTATTTGTTTTTTTATAAAAAAATTCTTATCAACCCTTTATGTTTGATCTGTTAAGAGACAAAACTATACAGACTGTTCTTACCAACCTCTTATTTGCTTCTTATTGTTCTTTAAATTCTGAAAAATGGTGTTTCTTAAACGATTAACCTTAATCGATCATTTCTCTCGACCGATCATTACCAAATCAATCTTCACCTCTCTCAGTTAATGTATTTTAATAGTTTGTAAATGTGTTAAACACCGTTAGTGACATGTTTTCGTTTAAATGAATGTTAATTATATAATTTTAATGTAAATTTTATAATGATTATGAATAAATATGTGAAATTATATAAATTATCTATAAATTCAACACTATAATTTTTAAAAGGTAAAATAGATACCTTAAACAAATTTAGACATTTATCAGTTTACAAAAACAAACAGTCTTATTGACTTAGATTTCAGACTTCAACAGCACCACCTCTTATAAATCATAAGTGAAATAAAACTTCAGACTTTAACACATCTTAAAAAACAAACGTCACCTGCATTTTAATGCCAAATTTTTTTTTTAATTTGAAAATCAAGTTTAAGCAAATGCGTAAGACACATGTGTAAACTCTGACTAAAACGAAAATACACCTCAGAAAATGGCTAAAAAGTGAAGTTGGTTGGGGAAGTTGGCACTTTTGGTCGATCTCCCTTAAAAATATGAAAAATGGGTTCTGATGTTATGCGTTTGAGATATAAATTAAGGGGGTGTTTGGAATTGCTTATCTAATACAACTTATGCTTTTTTATAAAAGTGTTTATCAACTTATATGGTGGTTAACTGGAGTTTTATATATAAAAAAAAATGTTTGAATTAGCTTATGGCGGTACCATACTGGATAAGCTGAAAAAAATAGATGAGATACCCTTTTTTCTCATCCAAACACTGGAAACCCCTTATTATCAGTACCACATCGAAATAAGTTAGAAGAAAATAACTTATTAAACACTCCTTATTACTAGTACCACACCAAAGTAAGTTAATAAACACTTTTAATAAGCAATCTCAACCCCCCCCCCCCTCCCTCCTTAAGAGGTAACAATGTATTTAGCAATACATAGGGGTGTATGAGGTATGCTAAATGCACTCTTATATATTGTTAGATCTGTCTCTACTTATTAATTTTCTTTTTATATATATCAACATCAAGACTTATTTTTACATTTTCAATACATAAATTAACTTAATTCTAACATAAAAAGGGAATACATATAGCATTCAATGACCCATCCCCCGATAAAAATCAACTTTGGTGGTTGAAGGACACACACACACACACACACACACACACACACACATATATATATATATATATGTTAAATAAAGTTGTAATGCGTTGTACTTCGATCAATGAAGTGGATTGCATATCCTTAATCGTTCTATTATGTATTTTTTTAGGAATTTCTTTTAATAACTGACAATAACAAAGTTGTGTTCTTTTTGGGTACGTTTGATATGTAGACAAGTAATGACAGTTGTTCGGCAGTCGGTAAAAACATAATGGAACTGGACATGACAGATAACTGGTTAAAATGACCAATTTAGCACTAATGATTTGTTTAATTTTTTTTTTTACCAAATAATCAATCTAGATGAAAATTAACAAAAACTTGACCAAATACACATACATACATACATACATACATACATACATACATACATACATACATACATACATACATACATACCAAAATCACTGCTTCCTATGTACGTGTGAGATATGGAGGCGTGAAATCTGTCAATGGGTACGGAGGAAGGAGGCGTATTAGTGGTTTTTTTTTTTATCATCAAAGGGTATATTTGTCTAAATCTTGTTTTTTTTTTCTTGTTCCAGGGATAGAATGGGACATGTGTGTCAGTCTATAAATTATAAAATTCTTCTTTTTATATTAATTTGTTTGATTATTTTCAAAAAAAGTAATTTATTTTAATTTAATAACAATTTTTTTTAATATTATTATCTTGTTATATTTTAATATTCTTTAAAATGATTTTTTTTTTCCGATTTTACCTCAGGATGAACGCTGCACGACATGCTTAACACATGCAAGTCGGAGTTTTTTAGACCTATTGCCGATACTAAGTAGCAGTCAAACATTTGTATCCATTTTTCATGATATTACGTACGTGAATTCTCGAGCCCTGTTGTTATCTGCTACATTTAAATGGGTCTAAGGTTGAATCATATATCATTTTTTTTAAATAATTTATTTAAATAAATAAATTTAAATAAGAATAAGAAACGCAAACGGTTCTATGGTGTAGTGGTTAGCACTCTGGACTTTGAATCCAGCGACCTGGGTTCGAATCCCGGTAGGACCTTTTTATTTCTTCTAAATTTTTTATATTTATTTATTATTTAAATATTTTTTTTATTAACCTGGATATCCAACCCGCTATGCGAACCGATTAATTTCAAAACGATCACCTACTTTACGGGTAACTCAGTCATTGCATCTGAACCTCCATGACCACAAAGAGTTTTATTTCTTCTAAAAAATTATATTTAATTATTTAATTATTGATATTTACTGTTTGAATCTTTTTTTGATTAACCTGGATATCTTATCCGTTACGCGAGCCGACTAATCCCAGAACAACCACTTGTTTTATGGGTAGCTCGGAGTCTCCGCATTTAAAATCACATCGTCATAAGTGGAATTTTATTCCATTTTTCATGATATTGCGGTCATTGAGTTTATCAGAACTGATTTTGTACAGTCGCAATTTAGCAGGATTAGTCTAGACATAGACCGGTACACCTTTCCAATAAAAAAGATTAGTTAGTGTTCTCACGTACCTTATCGAGTAACGTTCTTGGTTATTAAAATGGATTTATGGTAAGCATCTTTTATCATGTAAGTGCTTACCGAGTAAGACGTTTCGTTATGTACTTACCACGTAGGATTCTCAGGCACTGCTATGCTTCTTACCGGACAAGATTCTCAGTTTTTGTGATGTTCACCAATAACTCAGGGGTTGTTTGATTACCGCTTAATAGTTCCATTAAAAGACAGCATCTGAATCGTTGAAAGATAAATCTTGTTTGGCAAAAAAAAATGTCTCTTAATAGTTCTAAAACTCTCTGAATGGTTTTGTATCATGGGTCTCTTTTAACCATTCAGCGCCCTAATTTCATTGTAAACAATTATCAAACAATTATATTTCATTTTGCATTATATCATGAGAGCCTCTTAATCATTCTGACAACTTAATCATCTATACTATATTATAAAACATTTGACAAACAGCCAATAAGATAAGTGACGTCCAAACAGATAAAAATTTAATAAACGACTCCTAAAATGTATCCAATAATAAAATACTCTTTTTAAAAGGAATTTTTTTTTTAAATAATGCATTAATTTTATATGCATTTAATGTATTTTGTAGCCAAAAAATCACTTTTTGATTGAAAATGATGTTTTTGTAACTCATATGCCAGTTGTATATTCCAGCCAACATTTAATACCTAATTTTCTTTTATATTTTATTAAAAATCTATTATCTTTTCATACATATATCATATGGGTTGAGTTCACGTGAGATCAACTTGTTTTCGTAGACCAATTTTTTATACTTAAAACTTTACAGCAAAACGTTGTGAAGGTAAAAAAAAGTCAGACCTTCACCGCAAAAATACTGTGAAGTTTTAAGTGTAAAAAAATAGTATCATGAAAATAGGCTGGTCTCACGTGATACCAAGTTTCACCTGCAACTTGTTTCATTTCCCACCAACACCCAATCATTCATTTCAATCCCAACACTTTTGACGAAAAGTTCGTAATCCACCCGAACATCGTTTTAGACGCACGATATATCAAAACGAAGCTCTCGTACAGTACTACACAAACCCACAAACATATTTCCGGTTAACGTTTAGAATTCACATCGTTTTCGGGTCCAAAACCGACATAAAAACCCATTTTTATTTCCAAAATGATTATGTGATTGAGATGGGAAAAGGCTAGTTGATGTGGTGGTTGTTGCAAGTTGGTCTTTGGAAGCAGTTAATGAGAGCAAGTAGGCATGGAAATATCCCTTTTTATATCCTCTTTTTGTACAGATATCAGACCATAACCATGGCGGAGACCGGCGGAGCACTGCCACCACAACGGAGAGTTCCACCGATGACGATAACGCTCCCGCCGCGGTCTTCGGCGGATTCATTCCTCAACGCCACCGAAGTTAGCCCGGGTCCGCTGACATTTGTCTCTAACTTCTTCTCCGATCATTACGCGGATGGCGATATCCAATCTTTCTCTCAAATTCTCGCCGAAATCGTACCTTTTCCGGCCGTTCAAACCCCGACTACTACCCCCGTATCTCGACCGGAAAACGGGCCATTTTTAGTAGCGGCATTGAAGGAAGAACCGCAAACCACTCAAATATCCGATGCTGACGACTCCTCCTGGATCGAATCATATTCGGTTTCTGAATCTTGCAATCCCGAACCCGTAATCATGGGTGGATCGACTTGTAAGGATTTTATTCTGTCGTAGTGTAAAAAAATTACGATCCGTAAAACTGACACCGCTCTAATTTGTTTTGTGCTATCACCGAGCATCGTTACTTGGAAATTGAGAGGCTACAGTATCATATCGAGACTTAGGCCTTGTTTGTTTAAAAAAAAAAAAAAAAAACTCTTATCAGCTTCTTATATCTGATTCTTTAAGAGGTAGGGTCATTCAGACTGTTTGTTTTTTCTAATTTTCAGAGACACGTATGTCTTATTCTCCTCTTATCTGGTAAGAGGTAAACCAACCTCTTATATGTCTCTTATTGTTCTCTGAACACTTATCAATGACGTTTCTTAATCGATCATTTCTCTCAATCAATCCTTACCAAATCGATCCTCACCTGTCTCAATTAATGTATTTTAATATGATTTAAATGTGTTAAATACCGTTAATGACATATTTTCGTTTAAATGAATGTTAATTATATAATTTAGATGTAAATTTTGTAATGATGATGAATAAATATATGAAATTGTATAAATTTATCTATAAATTCAACACTATAATTTTCCAATGAAAAAAATAGACAAATTCAGACATTTTTCAGTTTACAAAAACAAGCAGTCTTATTAATTTAAATTTCAGATTTCAGCACCACCTTTTAATAATCAGAAGTAAAATAAGACTTTAGATTTCACCACATTTTTAAGAAAAACCCCACCTTAAATATGAGAATTGAAATTGTATAAATTTCTATTTTCATTTGTAACAATAATAATTTTTATTTTATAATTATATTTATTTTATTTTATATTACTGTAATTATTGGTACTACCATTGAAAGAAATACTGAATTCGTCCGTGTTTTATAGTTTCAGTAGCGAAAGCCGTTTGTGATGGGTACAACTGGCGGAAATACGGGCAAAAACAAGTGAAAGCAAGCGAGCTTCCGAGGAATTATTACCGATGCTCGCAAACTAACTGCCCGATGACCAAAAAGGTCGGGCATTTTCTTGACGGTCAAATCAGCGAGATCATCTATAACGGTCATCATAACCATGAGCCACCTAGGACATGTAAACGAGCCAACGACGGTGCAGCTGTGGACAAACCAGTGGACTCGTATGAACAAGTTGACCATCTGATAGCGAATGGGGTCGCGGGTGATGATTGTGATGAAAAAAGAAGGCAAGGTTTCATAGATTTCCGATCGTTTTTGTGTCCCCTACCTCACAACCAATTACGTAAAGACACATCATTCATTGGTATAGCTTTACGTGATTGACAGGACACAGAATTTGAGGATAATAAATATTTTTGAAAACAATAACGGATTTTGAATGTTAGATTTTTGGAACAAAATATCAAAATACTTGGATAATTCAAGTATCGTGTATAACACACTTTCCAAAATCTGTGATTTCGACCCTATAGCCTGGGATACCTCGAAATCAGATTTGGGATAATCCAAGAACAACGATCTGGATTTCAGGCAAAATTCAATATCAAACACAAAATTTTCTTGTTTATGTACCTTAGGAGACAAAATTCCGGCACAGTAATGATATGCACAAAGATCGTCACCCTGCAATCACCGAATATAAATCTTATTTATAACCACCGGTAGTTAAGTTGGTTATTTTGGCAGGAGTAGCGGGATCGCTGCTGCCAGGGGCGATGCCCCTTGGAACCCCACGAAGGGGAGGCTGCCCTCGGACCCCGCGTACCCGAGATTAACTTAACTTATCCGAGTGTGCACTCCGCACCTCCGGATTCAAATTATAGCTAATTCTAATTTCGGCTTGTCACACATTAATCCCGAATTCCCGATCATACTAAATGGCTTGATGATACTAAAATCACCAACATATTGATAATGACTTCACGTAATTGGTAGGACATGAAACTTGAGGATAACAGATTTCTATTCGGAATTTTTTTTCTTATAATTTTTTTACGAAATGCAGGAAAACGAAGGTCGAGACGGAGTACGGGAGTTGGCCGAGTCGAATTACGGTGAGTGAACCAAAGATTGTGGTGCAAACAAGAAGTGAAGTTGATATTTTAGATGACGGATTCAAGTGGAGAAAGTATGGGCAAAAAGCAGTGAAGGGGACTACTTATCCCAGGTGATAGATTATCTGATATTTAATAATTAGAATCAGATAAGTTGTTATTTGAGTTTTACATCGGTTAGATACAAATTATTAAAAATATCTGATCTTTTATAAAGGCTCTTTAAAGAGACATTTAAACAAGTTTCTATTTTCATATGATATCAAAGTCGATATTTATCAAAATCTAAAGCATTCAACACACTTTTTTGCTTTTGTTATGAGGGCACGTTTAGCCTCCATTTCAGAGGGGTGTGGGAGTCTCATATCGGCTAGACACAGACCATCAAACTTGTATGTATGTATGTATATATATATACACACACACACACACACACACACTAGAATGGTACTCGCGCAATGCAGTGAAATACATCTTGATCTTAATGTTTCATTTTATATTTTGGCTCTATCGATGTTATAATGCGATTTTATGTGGTTTTGAGAAAACGAGAATGTTTTTTATTTTTGAATAGAATATAAATTTGAATATATTATAAAATTTTGAAAAAAAAAATAATCGATATTAGTATCAAATTAACTATTTAAACGTTCTCGTTTTTGTGCAATTTCTTTAATTCAATTTTTTATTATAACTTAATTGAAGTTTAATAACGAACTAATTTATTTTTGGTTTAATAATTTTTTTTTTAAGATAATAGTTAAGTATTCTGTTAGAACTCAATGATTATCCTAATTATATTTTAGATTTTTATATTCAAAATGATGTTTATCTGCAATTAGTTACACAAATTCAAACATGAAGCTTTAATAAGATGTACTCACGCACATTCTGCTTGTAATCTTGAATTTAAGTAATACTTGTGGATTACAGGAGTTACTATCGATGCACGAATGTAGGATGCAAGGTTCGGAAGCATGTAGAGAGAGATTTAGCAGACCCGAAATCCGTTGTAACTACATATGAAGGCAGACATAAACACGATATTCCTGTGGTCGCTAAACGTTCAAATCGCAAAGAAATTGACTTCAAGAGCGAAATCCCAGTTGTATTACATTTGGAAGAAGATCAAATAACAAATCTGAGGTGACCAAGTTCACATCAATGAGAACATATAATAATTTGTACGAAAAAGAAGACTCGGGTTTTTGTTTATTCTAATCGTTACGTTCTTACCCGAAATGTATCACGTATAATTCATGGTACACAAACGGAATTTGCTTTATATCGTATTATCGAGAAGTTTTCTTGATTTTTATTGTTGGAGTCATTTGAAAACTGCAAAATCTGTGAGAACTGTGAGAGCTTTTACTTTAAAGTTTTGTTTCATATGATTTTTTTTTTCATCTAAGTATAATATTAAGGGGGTGTTTGGGATTGCTCATAAAAATAACTTATTGACTTATTCCAGTGTGGCGCCGGTAATAAGCACTTTTGAGTGTTTGGATAAACAACTTATACCGGTGCCAAACCGGTAATAAGGAGTTTTTGAAGATGTTAAAACATTTAACTTATAATAAGTTGATAAGCACTTTTGTAGAAAATCATAAGTTGTTTCAAATGAGAAATCTCAAACAACCCTTTAATGTACTGATAAACATATAGTTGTTTCACAATGCGTTGGTTTGATATGTATTCGGTTCACAATGTAATAAAAAATTTACGTGTATTTTTTGTTTCACAAACACATCAAAAGTGTTTACATCATGAACCAAGTACATGTGAAACAAAAAAAAATGTTAATCACTACATTAAATTCTATTATAGATGGAAAAAAATCACATGAAATATAATTGTTTGGTAAATGTTTACAATGAAATTAGAACACTGAATGGTTAAGGGAGCCCATGATACAAAATCATTCAGAGAGTTTTAGAACCATTAAGAGACAGATTTTTTTTTTGCCAAACAAGATTAATATCTTAACGATTCAGAGGTTGACTCTTAATGAAACTATTAATAGGTAAATAAACAACCCCTTACTAATGCATAAGCACGACTTTTTAAAGCTCCACTGTTGAAAGATCAATGGTATTTGTAAACATTAAAGATATCATAGTATTATACTTTTCAAACAAGAAAAAACTATAAGGTGAACTTATCGAAATAGAACTATGTAAAAGGACATGATGTATTGAATATTGAATATGAGTATTTATTGCAACTACAAAATGTTGGATTAGTCTCTTTAACATACACCTTGAAAACATAAAATAGTTGATGAGTGGAGGCTTTATAAACTTGTAAATAATGCATAGATGATTAAGTTGTCATATTGATTAAAATGTTTTTATGATATAATGCAAAATGAAATATTATTATTTGATAATTGTTTACAATGAAATTAGGACGCTTAATGATTAAAAGAGACCCATGATACAAAATCATTCAGAGAGTTTTAGATACATTAAAAGTCAGACTTTTTTTTGCCAAACAAGATTCATCTTTTAACGATTCAGATACCACCCATTAGTATAGCTATTAATAGGTAAACAAATAACCCCTTAAAGTTTTTTTCTCTTATAAATGAAAATGAGAATTCTGTGAGTGAAATAAACAGATTTGTGGTCGGTTTCCCTCCAAAACGAAAACTGGAGCTTCTCCAACAGTAATAAAAAATGGAGACGAACCCACGAATATCGCTTTCTCTTTCGTCTTCCCCGCAAATTCCGCCATTCCCGAATTGCAGTACACACAATTTCAATTGGAATCGGAAGAAAGGGGGAAATCAACAACAACTCCAGTTTCATCAATCGGAAATTAGGTCTAAATTTGTCTCAATCCTCCAAAAAGTTGCTCTCCCTTCCTTGTATCCTCCATCCTGAAGGGGTGATTAATTCTCCCCTTCTCCATTTTCAAACCCTAATCTTCTCCCCGAAATCTGTCAATTCGAATTGACGGGTTTTGGGGGGTCGATCTATATATAATCAATGGGTTGCATCAATTCCAAAAACGTTGCTAGATCTTGTGATTCCCCAATTCTTCGTGATTCTCCCGACGAAATTCGTGATGATCATGGTTCATCTTCGACAGTTTCTTCTGATTCGTTACCGGTGCGAAAATTGAAGAGGAATTACAGTCATCATAGCTATAATCATAGCTTTGAGCCATTGGAGAAGATCAAAGAGGAAACGGAAGATGATAAAACGAGCGAAGGATCTGGTGGTGGTCGGGAAAATGTTGAGAAACTTGAAGCTTTGAAACACAAGCAGAATTCGAAGAGGTTTGGGTTCAGTATTAGGTTTGGAAGATCCGTTGAAGGTGAACAGGTTGCCGCCGGTTGGCCGGCGTGGCTGACGGCCGTCGCTAAAGAGGCCATTGATGGTTGGGTTCCTTTGAAATCCGAGAGCTTTGAGAGGCTAGAAAAGGTATATATACCATTTTCAATTTTTTTAATATATTTTTTAAATTTTTATATCAACTATAATAATTAATATATATATATATATATATATATATATATATATATAGATTATATTATACACGAGAGTTTGAGACCTAGGTAGCGTTTGTTTTTTAAATGGTACTGAACTCTGAAGTTTGATTTCACTTCTGATTTATAAGAGGTGATCATGAGGTTTGAAATTTGGATTAGTTAGATTGTATGCTTTTACGTCTGAAATCTGAATGGGTCAAATTAATGCAAAAATATAAAAGATAAATAGTTTTTACAGAAGTATAAAATATAAATAGTTTTTGCTAACAAATCTTTTACCACCTCCAAAATATGAACCATTTGGTAGAGGGCGAATTAGGATAAGAGGTATTAAAGGATACGTTTACAACTTAAAATTTCAGATATCATTCAGAGCTTTTAAGCTTTTATTTTAGAAAATAAAACAAATACCCTTAAATATCCAAACTTCTGAACGAATCAGACTTGAGAGGTTACAATTTTGTTATAAGGACCCACTTTTTGTAATTTTGCTTGCTAAGTCAATGGTAGTTTTTACAAAGAACTTTTTTGTGGGTCCCATGTATTTATTATGTATTTATGAATAAATATGTAAAAAAAACTAGCAAATTGTCACTTTTCACCAACTTCAAGGTAAAAACCAAGGTTCTTGTAGAAGAACTTAAAGGGGTTGAGATTCTTATAAGAATTATATACAGTGTTGGTTCTTGTAAGAAGCTATACTTTTTGCTTTTAAAAACCTTTCAAAGGAGATGCTCTAAGAATTTCCGTCGGAGATGCTTTTTTTTTTATTAACCTGGATATCCAACCCGCTATGCGAGCTGACTAATTCCAGGACGACCATTTGTTTTGCTGATAGCCTGGAGTCATTGCATTTGAACCTCCATGGCCATAAGGGGATTTTTATTCCTCTTTGGATTTGAACTTGGGATCTCCTGGTACTTTTGACCTTTGGAGCCAAGCTCAAACCAATCAGACACCACCCTTGTGGTTTGCTTTTAGCATAGCTCTGGGCGAAAAAACAGCTCATATATCTTCAAAATCTCTACTTTAACATAGTTGTTGAATATAATGGTTTGGTTTGTTAGATTCCTTTTTTGCTTCTGAATGTGGTTATTGCATCTCTTCTTTACGAGTAGATCGGGCAAGGTACATACAGCAACGTCTATCGAGCACGCGAACTTCAAACTGGTCGAATGATGGCACTGAAAAAGGTGAGGTTCGACAATTTCCAACCCGAGAGTGTGAGGTTTATGGCTCGAGAAATCAAGATTCTTCGAAGGCTTGATCATCCAAACGTCATGAAATTGGAGGGTATAATCACATCCAGGTTATCATGTAGCATATATTTGGTTTTCGAGTATATGGAACACGATCTCTGTGGACTCCTATCGAATCCTGAAGTCAAGTTTAACGATTCGCAGGTTCGTTTCTTATAACTTCTCCAAAAAAATATATATAATATGTATAGAGGGAGGTTCAAGAGAAAACTACAAAAAAATGAAAAAAAATGAGGAACACCTCAGTAACCACATATGGACGGTATGCACATGTGCATACTAGTAATTGAAGTTATTTTTTGATTTTTATGCATGTGTGCATGTTATGCACATGTGCATACCGGACAAATTTCTTACAAATTACTTGTATGCACATGTGCATACCGTCCATATGAACTGTTACAGAGTGTTCTTCAGTTTTTCATTTTTTTATGTTTTTTCCCGAATCCGACCTAATATTTATATACAGTAGATATTCATACACACTTTTTACCTTTGGTGAGGTTTGAACCTTTGACCTTCCAGGAGACCATGGTCTTCCGGTTCACCAAAGCTGTTATTTATGTAGATTCTGGTTTGGTGTGCAGATTAAATGCTACATGTTGCAGTTATTGAAAGGAATCGAACACTGCCATTCACGGGGAGTTATACATCGTGACATTAAATCATCCAATATTTTGATCAATAACGAAGGAGTCTTGAAGATTGCGGATTTTGGTCTCGCGAACTTCTTTAATTCTAGGAGCAAGCAGCCGTTGACTAGCCGTGTAGTGACCTTGTGGTATCGCCCTCCGGAACTTCTCTTAGGGTCTACAAATTACGGGCCGTATGTTGATATGTGGAGCGTGGGTTGTGTTTTTGCTGAACTTTTCGTCGGGAGGCCCATCCTTAAGGGGAGAACTGAGGTGAGAACATTTCGAATGCCCATTGTTTACCTTGAACGTATGCATAGTAAGCGGCATTTGGTATGGCGCCTAACGTTAGGATATGTGGAACCTCTTTAAATCTTTCCTTAAGAGAGCCCTTATATGATATGTGTCTAGATGATGTGGGACTGACGAGATGGTGCTCCGCAAGAACGGAGGTGAAAGAGTGGGTTGACTTTAGGTGGTACTGGACTTTGGCTCTGAAACCATGTTAGGATATATGAGACCTATTTGAACCTCTCTTTAAAAGAGTACTTATAGGGTGTGTTTGGTGTGAGGACAGGACATGACAGAACAGGAATTGATAGGATAGGACATGACAGAACAGGAATTGATAGGATAGGACATGACAGCTGTTCAACGTTTGGTAAGATAAAACTGGACAGATAAGAACAAGTAAAATGACTAATTTACCCCTGATGAGTTGTTTATTTTAATTAATTTATGTAATTTATTAAATTATAATAGAATAATTATTTTTTATAACAAAATATATCATTTGAAGTTTTCGTCAAAACAATTAAAATGACACCAAATAAAAAGTTTATGTAGTTTTCTATTTTTACTTTTATCTCTTTTCTACATTATTTTTTAATATTAATATATAATAAATTACATAAATTAATAAAAATATAAAAACCGTGTAAAAATAATATTTTGAGGACAGTAAAATGAAAGTTTAAGAAACATAAAATACAATAAATAAAATTTAAAGAATGAATAAAATGTAAAAAAGAGACTTATTTGATGTTTTATAAGAGAATTAAGTTTTATTTTGAGGTTATATTAGTAAAATATAAGTTTGTTCCACCTTGTTCCATCTTGTTCCATGGGGTAGGGGTGGAGCAAGCCTGTTCCACATAAAATTCATGCCAAACATGGGACAGGGATCCTGTTCTGTCCCTTCTCTGTCCAGCGTACCAAACGCACCCATACGGAGGAAGGGGTCTTACATATATACAAGTATGACAGTCTGGGCTTAGCTGATACATGGACCCTTAAGCGGAGGCTAGACAGTGCCGTCAAGAGTGGAGGTGAAAGAGTGTGTTGAGTCCCTAGACTCCGACTCTGATGCCATGTCCTTGAACCTCTCTGTAAAAGAGTACTTATACAGATAGGGGAGGTTCTTACACACAAATATGTATATTATAAGGTTAGGTTCATTGGGAAAGTGCAAAAAAAAAATAGAAATAAAAACTGAGGAACACCTAGTAACCATTCATCTGGACAGTAATTTATAAGCAATTTGTCCGGTATGCACATGTGCATAACATGTACACATGCATAAAAACCAAGAAACAACTACAATTATTTACTTGTATGTACATGTGCATACCGTCCGGATGAATGGTTGTCAGGGTGTTCTTCAGTTTTTCATTTTGCGAGGGTTTTTTTTTTCTAAACCTCCCTCTATCTATATTATACACACAAATATATATATATATATATATATATATATATATATAAATACACACACACACGTTTGATGTTTCTTTTTACTGATTGCAGGTTGAACAATTGCACAAGATATTCAAGCTTTGTGGCACTCCACCTGATGAGTATTGGACAAAGTCCAAGCTTCCTCTTGCAGCAATGTTTAGACCCCAATTTACTTACGCAAGTACTCTACGAGAAAGGTGCAAAGAACTCCCGAGAACCGTGGTCGACCTTATTGACACCCTCATTTCCGTAGAACCCGAGAAACGTGCAACTGCTAAATCCGCTCTTCAGGCCGAGGTAACACTTGCCATTGTGTATGCATTCTTTATGTTAGAATTACATGATTCCGTCAAAGAAAGAGGGTCCCTTACGAAAAAACAGTCGCTCTACTCGTTACATTTTTACTTTTCTTACTCCCCTAACGGTTAACCCTACTTCCGAGTAAAATTACATGATTCTATAGAAAAAAAAATATTGTTTTTTATTAAAACAGTCGCTCTATTGCTCGGGTAGAGGTCAGGTATGTGTAAATCTTAATCCTCAGACCCTACTTTCGAGTAGAATTGCATGATTCTAACAAAGAAATGGGGTTTCACGAAAGTAATCGCTCTACTCTTTTGTACATCTTACTTCTGAGAACGTACATTAAGTTTTGTATGGATAAAGCTGTCTGCGTGGATTAATTTGTCTGTATAAATTGGGAAAGTTTTTGTTTGGAAGGGGTTTTTAATAGACAAATAAGCGTGTTTTTAATTGGGATGGGCATATTTGTAGAAAATGTGGTTTCTGCATAAAGCTCTTCCTAGCCATTTCTATATCATCAAGCACACTACCAAATAATCATGTGCAGCTGAGCTAGGAGTCAAAGTAAGCTCATTAAACTGCTAACATACATACCTTGCTTTCGAGTGGGCCATACCAGGTAGAGGTAAGTCTGCATACTCCCCCCAGGCTCTACTTTCAAGTGGGATTTACTGGGTCCGTTCGGTTTGTCATGTTTGCATACATCTTACTTTTTAGACCCTATTTTCGAGTGGAACATGTTGACTGTGCTTGGTTTTGTTCCTTTTTATCAAAGAATTCATGTTTGATTCAAGTAATTAATACCCTTCAAAACCGATTATCTTAATCTGATGTTTTTGTCTTCAGTACTTTTATACGAGACCTTATGCGTGTGATCCTGCAAGCATGCCAAAATACTCGCCTAACAAAGAGATTGATGCAAGGTTCCGCGATCAAGCAGGGAGGTCGGTTCCCTTTTGTTGTTTGCATACAAATAACATTTCACTTGTCCCAAAATAACTGTCCACAATGAAAGAGCCCACAGTTTTAGAAATATGCAATTATTACAGTTTTTAAATATTAAATGTCAATAATAATCTTAATAACAAAGGGAGTAATGAATTTCTCCATCTCACAGTTAATGACAAAATTGGGAGGGGCAGGTTCTGCATAAAACTCTTCTCGAGAAACTTATTGAATAAGCAACTTTCTATATCATTAAGCCACTACTAAACAGTCATGTATTGCTGACCGAATAAGCTGCGAGTCCCATTAAGCTCATTAAGTTACCAAAAAAAGCCCCTAAATGTAGACACTTATTTTGGGACGGAAGGAGAGGTTATATATTTTTCAGATTACTAATGGCTTCAAGAATCACTGGTTTCAGGAAGAAGGCGGGTGGCAGAGTTCAAGCATCCGGAACTTCAAGAAACCCGAGAAGATCCCGAAGAACTTTGCAAGAGCAAAGTAGTTTTAGTAAACTGATTCCAGAAGACGGCAACAGAAACTTCACAAGAGATTTCGTTGACTCTAAAGCATCATACGACACGGTATCAGAAGTTTCCCAAATGACAGAAACTTCTCAAGCCGATAGCATTTGCACACTTCCTGCACAAGCTACGACATCAAATGGTAGCGGGCCGTCTGGTGCTCGGAGAACTCATAGAAGACATGTTGTGCAAATGCATCATAATTTTATAAAGTTTGAAACTTTCGATGCGAGTGGCGTATACGAGCCTGAGGATATATCTTCTGTAAGTTATCTTTAAGATTAAACTCGGAAAGATCCATCAGTAGGGGGTGCGATTGGTATGCTTTCCTATATTGGTGGGACATAAACAAATGCATTTTTGTCCCACTCATGTCTTGTCCTGTCTTAGTTTAACGTCGTTTAAAAATGTGGGACAAGAAGTTTTTATATTGTCCCATCTCATCCTATACAGCATACCAAACCCACCCAAAAAAAGCCTAAAAGCTCGAAAAGGTTTGAGTCTAGCAAGCCTAGGCCCATGACAGGCCTAAAAGCCCATTCGGGCCATTTTTTTTAAAGCGAGAAAAATCCTGAGACTACGATTGGGCCTAATTTCACACCCAAAGCCTAGGACCAGCCTGGCTGCAGTCTGATAAAGCCCAAGCTCTTTTTTAGCTTATTGAAACGGGCTTGGAAGGTTCGAATCTTGTGCAACTCTAAGTAGAAATGCACGAAAAAACCCAAGCTCGAAGCCTATTCAAGGCCTAAACCAAGTCCGTGCCTAGCAAGCCCAAAGCCTGGTCCAGGCCAGGCCAGGCCAAAATATTGGCAGCGGGCCCAGGGCTAGACTTGGTCTAGAAAAAGCCTGGCCTGCAAAAGTCTGATAGGAAAGTCGGCCCGGCCCAATTCTTAGTGCTTTTTTATTGCTCACTGGAAAAACAAACACCATTGATGAATTCCTGTAGAGATTCATGAATATCATGTTATAGATTTATAAGTACTCGAATTTTATCGCATTTGAATATGTACTCATTCGTGTGCTTCCTAGTTCGATTGTCCATCCAATTTGATCACTATCTGCATATGCGACAGGAGTATCAGGAAGAAATAACATTTCGACCACCACTAACCGCGCTATTTCATTCGCATAGTGCCGATGGGAGGAAACAAGAAGATCACCGTCGTTATGATGATCGTAGATCCCGTCTTTCTAGAGGTACAAATATCTTGTCTTTTTTTTATTGTTTTAAGCACATTATGCTTCACGGAAACGACTTCTCAATTCTTTGAGGTAGGAAGGTATGCATACATCTCATACCCAGACCCGACTTCGAGAATAACTGGTTTGGTTTGGTGTATGCTTGTTAACAATGATCATAGAATCAAGATAACTTGATTATTTACTTAAAATAAACCAAATGAGCCCAGTATATCTCTAGTGGAGGTGGGATCTGGAGGGTAAGATGTACGCAAAGAGTAGAGCGGTTGTTTCATGAAAACCCAACTAGTCAAAACTCAAAAGTGTGTAAAAGGGAGAAATATTGATATGTTAAAATTGAAAAGCTAGATACGAGTAAACGACAACAATACAACTAGAAAGACATGCTAATTTGGAGTAATAGTTATCATCAGTATGTGATGGCAATATTGATAACTCAAAATGCACAAGGCCTGGTGCCTTTCAAGCCTGTTTTCAATGAGGGTCCATTCCGGGTTCTTTAGGCCGGCCTTTTTTTGGGGGTTTTCAGGTGGGCTTTTTGGGCGGCCCCCGCCCCTACATTTTCAGCCTGGATTGGACCGGGCTTGGGGCTCACAACAGGGCCAAGCTCTAAATTGTACTTTTTGTACATCTATGTAAATAGTAGCAAGTACAGGAGGAAGTACATAACCAAGGTGGATAAAACTGTTTGTTTGGATTAGTCTGTCTATATATATTGAAATGCCTTTGTTTGGGAGAGTTTTTCCATCGAAAAAATGAACATGTTTTTTAACTGAGAGGGATATGCTTGCATAAAATCTCTCATTTAAAACGTTAGTGAATAAGTCACTTTCTATATCATTAAACCACTACCAAACAATCATGTATAGCAGACTGAATAAGTTGTGAGTCCCTTAATCTCATTAAGCTGCTAACAAACGAACTATAACTTAAGGTTCCACTAACCTCACTACTCACTACCATGCTACTCTAATCTTCCATCTCCAAGATTGCTTTATTCTTTAAAGTGTATGAATTACCTTTTTGCCCTTTTTTGATGCAGAATTGTCATAATGAACAAAGGGGAAAGTAGAGATTCTTGAAAAAGGCATGTTTAGTGGTTGTTGTAGCTTGTGCTTGGTGGACCATTGTAAGAAAGGAGGGTGAGAGGAAAGACAAAAGGACAAGGGTAAAAGAGACATTTTAATTGAAGGCAACATACATTACAAGTTAACTAGCATCATATAGGATTGGGTAGATGGATAAAGCTCCATGTTATATGATTATGAAACATGGGAGCTCAATTTTGTGTAAACCACAAAAGTTGTATCCCTTTCTTCCAACCCCTTATTTGTGGTTCTTTTTTTACCAATTTTTTATTGATGTATATATATGATATGAAAAATGTTGACAACTATTTGTTGTCATTTTTCATATTTTTGTATGCTAAAATAAACGAAAAAAGATTTTCTCTTGTTTTTTTCATGCTTCAAATCTAGTTTTATTTTTTTGATTATGTTTTTTAGGATGATTATTTTGGTATCATACGTTTTAAGTATAACAAATAAAATATCAAAACGTTTGTAAAATATAGCGACAAATGGAATTTTGGAATTTTAAGTAGGCAAGGAAATAGGAATAACAACAGACCGGGTTCGGGCCGGTTATTGGTATCGCTGTCCCCGAAATCGATGACTAAAACCGCTCCGATCCCCATCAGGGGTCTTATCGGGTCCCCGCATTTTCCCCAATGCCTGTTGGGGAATCCGTTGAGGGTAAAACTATAACGCTTAATAGATAAGGGAGATTAATGATACAAAATCATTCAGAAGGTTTCAGAACCAATAAGAAACAAACCTTTTTTTGGCAAACAAGATTCACCTGTTAACGATTCAAAAATTGAATTAAGAGTTAAACAAACAAACCCTAATTACAACCCAATATATTACCAAATACACCCCTACCAAATAATTTTCTCCCACCCATATCAATGGGTTTTCTCGTTGAATTGCTCTAAAAACAAAAAAAGCGAATGAAATGGAAAAACTAATTGGTAAGTTCGATCTGGCGTTGTTTCTGTTTTAGAATCAATCAGTTGTTAGCTGTTGAAACACTAATTTACAGACATAGAATTTTTGTAACTGTTGTCAGTGGTTATAATCCAGTCGAGCTATTTTCACCACAAAACGTCTTCAGATCCTAATTTATAATATCAATAATGCCAGAAAATTGAGGTGATAAACTGCCAAAAGCTTAAGATCAAGCAAAAAAACACATCGAGTTGACGTTCCTAATCATTCTAAAAGAATAAAAACTAGGCATAGGATGCTAATCATCAAATAGAAGGAAAAATATAGGAAAATCCTTTCACCTTGAATGCATCTCCTAAAATATCATGCAGACTGAACTTCAGATGAACCCTAGAGATCTCAAAATCAAAATAATCGTGTGTGACGGTGAGAAAAACCGGTTATAAGATGCTACTCATGAAATCGAAGAGAAAAATATAGAAAAAAATCATTTCGCCTTGGATGCATTTCCTACTAAATCATAGAGATAGAACATCAAATTAAGCCTAATTATTGAAATCAAAAGTTCGATGGTGATAAAAACCGGTCAGAAGATGCTAATTATATATTAAAAATAGAAAATGTAGGGAAATCCTCTCGCCTTGGATGCAAATCGAAGCAGCAAAGCGGCCATGGATTCCCAAGCACGCACAGAGCAGTAGTATAGTTGTGCGTGCAATTTTATTGATCTACGCCAGTCGCACACGGTGGTGCGCCACGATTTGAAAACCTTTTCTCCGTGGAAATAATACCACGCCACCCCTTTGTTTAYGGGATAAGCGCTCGGCCTATGGCGGATTTGCTTCTCTTGCTTTCTCTCTTTCCGTTTTATACTGTAACCCTAATTACCTATTTTACCATTTTCCCCCTTCATCTCTTTCTTAATGACATATACATCCCCTATCTTTTAAGAATTGTTAAAAAGACCTTCTACATGGAGAAAATAGAAATTTTGTAGTTTTTCTTCCCTTTTATTGCTCGAACTAAATGTTAAAACATTTTTTTAAACATTTTCAATATAAATCTTCTTTTAGAAGTTTATTAAGGTGTTGTTTGTTTACCTCTTAATAGTTCCATTAAGAGGCGGTGTTTAAATCGTTAAGAGATGCATCTTGTTTGACAATTTTTTTTGCCTCTTAGTGGTTCTAAAACCTTCTGAATAATTTTGTATCTTCGGCTTTCCTTAATCATTCAGCACCATAATTTAATTCTGCATAATTACCAAACAATTATATTTCATTTGTGCACTATATTATAAGAGCTTCTTAATCATTCTGCACCAAACCATTCAACAACTGTCAAACAGCCTCTAAATAAGCTACTACCAAACAGTAGAGATGGCTAAATGAGACCAGCCTAGCTCGGGACTGATTTGGGACCGCCGGTTATGGTTTTAAATGTATTTGATTGACCCAATTACATATTTTTAAGTATATTAGAATAACTTAAATTATTGTTAAAAAATTATCAAAAAGAAATTGACAAAAATATATAAAAAATGATTTTTAATATAGGACCGGTTTTGGTCCGACCCAGTTATCCTAACCGGTTACAAGTACCCTTAACCGGGCTTTACTATTTTCAACAGGACCGAGACCGGTCCGGATTGTTGCTGTTTCGGCCGGGGAACAATTTGGACCTGTCCCAGGACCAGTTTTTGGCCATATTTATCAAAGAATAATGTATAACTTATAGAATAATTACGAATCTCATTACACTGTTAACAAACAGACTCTAAAACAATCCAGATTCGCTTTCGGCCATGATTACGACACCTATTTTAAGCAACTCTTTGAACTACCCTTTATAGTTGAAATTCATTTTGCAATGCCAAGGAAGCATTATGGACTACGCTTGTAGATGAACTAAAAACTTTTTTCCTGAATTTAATTTATATACTATTTTTTATTAATGTTTTTAATTTAATAAAATAGAATATGCATAAAATGATATAAAAAATATGTATTATAATGATAAAATAGTTGTACTATTAATTATTAAAATATATAACATTAAATTTTGGTAAAATAAAAATATGTATTATAAATGATAAAACAGTAGTTGATATGATTTTAGAAGGATAATTACAAAAGCTGATCTACCACGTTTTAAAGATTATTAGGATTTTATTGGTACGGATGGTCTAACCAATAGACAACTTGCATAACATTATGTTAGTGATGGAGAAATCGCCCGGCCCGGCCCGACCCAGGACCGTCGGCTCATAACCAGTTATGAAGTACCTTAACCGGTCCTACCATTTTCGACCGGGACTAGTTATGGCCGGTTATGAGAAAGCTTAGGACCGATTAGGCCTGGTCCTGGACCGGTTTTTGGCCCTCACAACATTATGCAAGTTACCAAGCCCACAAAAAGGAATTGGGTTTGTAATATTAGGCCTGATGGAAGGAAAAAAATTAGATTGGACATGAGTCATGTCCAACAAGCCCGCAAACGATCACCTCTAATCTGAAAGGTTTCACATATCTTAAAAGACATATCAGTCTTAAAGATATAAGAGCTTGGCATGGCAACTTTGTGGGGTTAGCTCAATTAACAATAAGACTCGGACCTTTTGAGGATTCTCCTCAGTTGTCACTGGTTCGAGTTCTGCAAGAACACTGAGGTTTTCCTAGTTGTTCTTCGAGACCCCTAGGTTTAATCGATGTACGCCACAAACTGATCCAGATACCCACAATTGAGATCACATAGTTTTGTCATTTTGCACCCAAATATGGTGTCATAGAATCCAATTCTTTGGATATTGTGGTTGATCAATACACATGAATTTGCAGCCACACAAGGGGCTGCAACTGCAAGTTTACAGTTTACATAATTGTTGACTAACTTATTGATATTCACATGGTCAAAAAGAATTATCTTCTTCTCCTATATATATATATATGTATATATAATTCAGGATCTAGTTTCCCCTTTCTTTCACTCAGTTTACAATGGTGATGAAGGATGAACAGAAAAGTCAAAAAGTCAAAAGGTCAAGAAGTCAAAAGAGTGTTAATCTTCATCCTTGGAGTTGACCATAATAGTGGGTATTTGACCATGATTTACAAAGTCAATCTTGTTCAATCTCAAGCAGCATAACACTGTCTCTGGTAACTCTTCTGGTTTCTGAGCCTATTTTTTCAAATAAACACCCCTTAAATCAGTTTCTCTTTTTGTAACTTTAAAGCATCTCTAATATATTTTCAAAAATAACCGGGTACAACTCCAACAGCTTCTCTATTTTAGAGATTACAACATTAATTATATAATTAAAATGTTTCATATGTTTAATAAAATATTATTTCTCTCTTATATACATTTAATTTCAAATTTCTTAGACAAAGGATCGAGTGAGAGTAATAGTTATAGAGTGAGAATGGTGAGAATACTTGTAAGCAGATGGATGAGTTGACTTTTTAATCTATATTAACTTTTTTCAACTACTTTCAGTATCTTCAACTACATTCATCTACCTTTATCTTCAGATTTATCTTCGTTTTAAGTCATTTTCATGAACTTTTACATGAATTTAATCACTCACATACATGAATTTATTTCAGTTTCGGTCATGATGATAAAAATAGGTAAATAAAGGTAGATAAATGTATATGAAGACTTTGTTCTCACGTTATCACCATAACTTTTATTCCCAACGAACCCGACCCAGATTTCTTATTGGTAAAATATAATTATATCTCTCGTGGAAATCAATTTTTGTGGAGAATTTCATACTCTTTTTTCTACTTTCTCCATTTTTGAGCAAAAAATTGCCTAAAATCCGCATTTTCTAAGTTTTGGAGAATCTGTTGGAGATGCTCTTGCTAACGGTAGATCATTTTTCTGTATCAATAATTGAAAGAAATCTAAAGAAAGTGATACCATAGCTTTGAGTTTGTTAATTCAGTTATGGAGAAAGGTAATGTACCTGAATTGTGAGGCCCAAGTTCAATATCCCATTTTTCAGGCGATCACGAAATGCGTCTAATCCCTTCCTTGCTATGTAACTAAACCGATGAATGTCCAGGTCAACTTCAAAATAATTGGGACCCTGCATTCACAACGGTCAGAAACCCCTAGTGGCAATGAGAAACTTGAACAAACATTGAGTAAGTTAAAGGACGATTTGATTTTTGACAAGCTTTGGAATTTTGCCAATTTAGATAGACGCGGTCAATAGAGAAATGAAAACACAAAACATAATGTCTTGGACGAAATTTTTTTAATTATGCCATAAAGTTGAATCTACGACATAAAAACTAAATATAACTAATCTATGTGTATTTTTGGTGGTCGGTTCGGTCTAGACCGCTCAAAAAAACATTCAAACCGCAGATTAGACTGCATGGTTTGGCAAATTTTCAGACCAAACTGGACCGGACCGCCAGACCGCTCTAACCACAAAAAACGGTGCGGTTTAACTTGGTTTGAGCGGTCCAATGGTTTTTTTGAATACCCCTAGTCGGAACCTCCTCTCATTTGTCCTCAAGGGATCTTTTGGAGAATGAAAGAAAAAGAAAACTTGAAATGTGGTACCTGATAAAATTCGTGTTGAGGACGTGAAAGGACGGGTTTTTCATTGTATGCATGCAAAAGCTTCTTCTGAGTGTTGTTTGACACAAGGTCATCAGGGTTGACAACACCAACCATGATCTTTAGCCTTTCTCTAAAAGGTACAACAGTGTCTTTTCTGATTCCCTTCACTATTTCCATTTCATCGTCAACGAAACTCTGGATATCCAATAAGATCGCTTAAGAAACTTCGAATCGTATAGTCTAGTTTTGAAACGTATACACAAAACATTGGTGTTTATTGATGTATAAAACGCAAGTACATCAAGGTAATATAAAAAGATGCAAGAAGTCTACCAAATGGCACCAGAAAGGATTGAAGACATCAATGGACAACATAATTTCAGGCCACCTGATAGTTTTCTCTTTATCATTCTTATAGTTTTAGCAGGCTAGGGAATGTTTGGTTGGTTTCCATTAAGTCCTCCATGGATAAAGTTGTCTTAATGAATTAATCTGTTTGTATAGATTAGGACGGTTTTTGTTTGTGGGGGTTTCATAGGTGGAATGAGCATGTTTTTTAATTGGGAAGGACATGATAGGAAAAACTTGACTTTCTGCATAGCGCTACCCCCTAGAAGCTTACCAAATAAGCTACTTAATGGCGCAACTACCGTACGGTCATGTATAGTTGATCGAATAAGCTGTGAGTCCCATTAAGCTCATTAAGTTGCTAACAATCAGACCCTAAGGCAACCACTACTTTTTTTTGGTAACATGGGGTGTCCGGGCCAGCTTGCACCTCGACTAATCCTATGGTGCATTCAATATAAAAGCCTGGAAAATTACTAGTGGTCCTAAGGAGACTCGAACTGGGGACCTATGGGGAGGAGCCCCAACGCCTACTCTTTATTTTCCAGTTAAGTTGAACCTCAAGGTTACCCATTGCTTTTTTTAATTCTAATTCCTATAGCTTTAGCTTTTGCTGCTATTTTTTGTTTGAGTAATCAATGTATAGAATTGTACTTGTTAACAATAGATAAACCATAGCCTATTCTTTGAGTGACTTTGATTCCATGCTCGAAGAATTAGTTAGTTAACTAAACAACCGTCATGTTAAAAACGCGATAGCGTCTTACGTACCTTGATTAACCCTTGAAATTGAGGAGAGATATCTTCCTCATATGTTTCAGAGAGTTTGAAATATAGAACAAGGCTCAATCCCTCACCATCACCATCTCCATGGAACATGGAAGCAGGATAGGTGGGCAACTGTGACAACCAAATAAACATTTATAAGAATTTGTATCCTGCTAACCATGATTGATTGTAAGATAAACCCCAAAATGGCAACAACAAAAAAATTGAACCTGAATATTGACGATCAAGAGAGGCGGCAAATTGCCATCTCCTTTTAAAGAAGGAAGCTCAATGTGTTGGGCAATGTGGTTAACTTTTCTTGGACACACAAAGAGATCAACACCGAATGGAGTATAAGGACAATAACTCGGGGCTGGGCTTTTCTTCTTATCTCTGCAAATTAGTTTTTCAGTTTAATTTAAGTTATATGTTACTAGCATTCTTTAAATAGTAAGAGAGGTCATTGGCATACTGAAAAAAGGTTTCGCCTCTGAGAGTGAAACATGAGGGATCAATAGCAGACCAACATCCAGGAGTCGGCTTCTCATCGGTACAACATGGGATCAAGAGTCCTGCTCGGGGGTGATAAAAGAACTTATTCGAAGATTCTGCATAAGCCAAAAGGGGTATATTATATGTTACAAGATATAGGTGTCAATCTTTTATGAAACAAATAATGGTAACTCCTATAACAGGATAACTGTGGAGGCTATAAATCATTCTTTCCTAGAAAGGAGAAAAATACACTTACGGAATTCATTGGCTTCTTCTCCATCAACTGAAGTTCTCTTTAATGAAAGCTTGATAACTGTCCTTGTCTCAGTCTGTTTACCTGCATCTTATGTGTTATTGATGTTTTCATTGGAACTGTGAGAATACGTAGAACCCTATCAAATTACATTTCAAAAGAGCCCTCGAGAAGAGGAGGAAGTTTCAACATATATGGAGGAGAAATGGTCCAAGTCTAGCCGATTTGAAACTCCAACACGCCCCCTCCAACGGAGGCCAGGCAGACATAGACTGTCCAAGGTGTTGAGGGGGCTAGACAAGTACAGATTGCCCTAAAGTGTCAGAGTCCCTAGAATGGCAGACTATGTCTTGGATACCATGTGAGAATATGTTAAACCTTATTAGATTCCTTTCCCAAAGAGCCTTTAAGGAGAGAAGAAAGTTCCAACATATGTGGAGGAGAAATAGTCCAAGTGCAGCCGATATGGGACTCCAACAGAAACTAGCAAAAGGAAACAGCCTACCTGTGCCAGACTTCAAGATTTTGGCTTGGGCTTTCTCGATAACAACATTGTTTATACCATTCAAACTCCCATGATGACAGTCTAACATCTTGCGCATCTCAAGTGGATCACCTTTACTTCTCAAGAGTGAAAGTTCATGTCCCCCAAGTCCATCTTTGCACAACATACTCTCTGTTTTGCAGCCATCTATTTTCAAATAGCTTTCCTGGTACTTGCCTTCGTTATCGACAATGCATGAAGATGTCTCATACTGAATCACTTCTCCATCTGATGCAAAAGGAAAACCATCTCTAGGTACTTTTTAAGCCAACAAAGAAAGTCTAAAGTTACCAAGATCATTCCAAATCAAAATGACAATGTTTATGTCCATTACCTCCATCCACACTACCATAGTCATCTGAATCGGAATCTTCAAGTTTGCTGGTGGGATCAAACCATGATTCTTCTTGGCCAGTCACTGAAAGAAAGTGTTCATTATGTCATTTCCAGGTACAAGTTACCCCACCCGAACCATACTGACTTTAGGGTATGTGGAACCCCAATTGAATCACTCTCTAAAAGATCCAATGAGGAGAGAAGGGGGTTCCAACATATGTTGAAGAGAAAGTGTCTAGCTGAGGGAAATGAAACAAATCATAATAACAACGAAACAAAAGAAAGAACAATAAAGCACCATTAGTATCAATTTGACTCTGGTGCCATTCCACCTGAGTGACTTGGACAGTGGAATTGGTATCATTGCTTTGTGTACAAGTAGTTGTTTGAACAATTTCACTAACAGCAACACAACTGCCTTTGTCACTTCTCTTCTTCCTTGATTTAGAGAACCTTCTTGAACGAATATGTCGTGGTTTCTTTTCATGGACTGTTTTATGCTGAGTTGATGCACAACTACCCATTTTATTTTCCTCTCCTGATATAACAGCAAGTCCCTGGTCAAACAACAAAGTAACGACAATTTTATTGAAGTAGCATCATCAAAATTGGTATATGTATATATATATATATATATGTGTGTGTGTGTGTGTGATTTGGGCACCCTCCTCCTCTGAGCTAGCTTTTGGGCGTGCATTTTACCCAAGCCCATTTATCAGATTTTATCCCTCAAGAACAGGAGAACGCTGCCCACGATTATATGTTTTTACCTATCATTTATACCCAGTGAAATGAGAGCTAAACAGCTATGGTGCCAGAAAAAGGTGAACCAGAAATTAATCAATTAGCTAGAAAATCAAACACATATGGCACAAATACAATAAAAAACAAGTCCTGTTAATTGTTTTGCAAATGGATGATGATAGGAGAGCATACCTAAGCAAGCTGCAAGGAGTTACCAAAGAAGCTGATATCAGGATAGTTAATTCAAGAAGACTGCAATAAACATTGATTACAAGTGAATTTGCTGATATAGAAACAGCTACAATTGGGGGAAATGCACCAATCTTCCTCTAGTTAGAGTAATTGGTAAGGGTGATAACTTCTAGGGGGGAAAATCATAAATATCCAAAAGAAATCCAAGTAAAATCCAGAGGAATAGGAAAATTGCACTTCAACTGTAGAAATCAGAACTATTAATGACCTTTTTTAATAGAAATTAAGATACTATGAGCAGTATATGGCAAGGACGAAAGAGAAATCAGGATCATGGCCAAATGAGTCCTCCTCAAAAGAGGATAAAGAAAAAGAGGATTTCTAAAAGGATTTTCTTGAGAAAAACAAGAATTTGCTGTCATCAGAATGAAACAAAAACACATATCAAATGATAGTGACGTCAATAGCTTTATCATAACTTTTCAAACAATCACAATAATCATTGTTTAATGCAAAATAAATTGAAACCTGATATCATAACACTTGTAAAATAACTAGAGACGGATTAATTTCTTCAAACCAACAATTCCATCTTCATCAAAAAAAATTCCAGAAAGGGCGATTAATTAGATCCTTACGGAAATACAGAATGAGCTAGATGAATGATGAAATACATCAAAAATCACTCAGAAAACAACGAATTAAGCTGCGTACATCAACTATTCACCTTCACTCACATGTCAATACATAATTAGCTGTATCGATCAACGAAATGCATACGAATATATAGAGAAAAACCTGAAATTGTTGTGTGGATTATGAATATAATAACACAATCTCCCTCTCTCTCTCTCTCACTCTCTCTATCTGTCTGCGATGGATTGAAGAAACCTCCACAGAAGCAGATGAGAGGGGAGGAAGAACGAGAGTCCGACTGGGTCGGATCCGGGTTCAGCCTTCTTCTTTGTCCTTTTTGGTATTATTCTTTCCCCTTTTTTTCTGAGTGAAGTTGCAGAGAAATGGATTTATAGAGGAAGGAGATGAATGACGATCTGCCACGTCATCAATTTTCTCTGGGACAAACGCCTTCTTTTTCAACTGATTTTTTTAATTTCTAGTACTCCTTTTATTCAAATATGACACAATTAACCCTTCATCTTCTTTTTTTTGTCATAAAACGTAACAATTTATTGTTGATCACAAACAGTGACATCATTTGACTAAGAAAATGACACTAATAGGATTCGAACTCGAGTCTGTGGTGAAAGAAAAGCCTTGCAAACCAACTTTATCAAATAAAACTTGTTCTATCATGGTTTCAAAATATATACAGTGTCACATAACAAATTAATATGGTATCGCTTCTCATGACCCTAAAAAAATTTACACTACGCCATATGAATAATACGATGGCATGGGCTGCCGTGTGCCCTGAATTAGGTCCGTCATACAAATGGACAACAACATTTCTATTTCTTCTAACAAACTGAACTCTGAAAGTGCCCGATTGGCTTTTTTAGGTTGGGCTTAACCGGGCCTTTTTAGGCTCGGACCTGCACCAAAAATTTCACTTGATTGGGAGGCTTGGACCAAGCTTCAGGTTCACTAAGGTGGCGTTTGTTTTTTAAGAGGTGTTGAAGTCTGAAGTCTGAATTCACGTCTGATTTTTAAGAGGTTGTGCTGAAATCTGAAATCTGAATCAGTCAGACTGTTTGTTTTTTGCGTCTGAAATCTGAAGTTTGAAGATGAGAGATCGAGAGTTGATATGGATCGACAGTTGACAAAGTTGAGAGATGAGAGATCGAGACAGAAGAGTTGATCTAGAGAAATCGAGCGCAAAGAGATCAGAATAGATAGGCGACGATTTGAAATAAGAGGTAATAAGATGTTTCGCAACCACTTAAATTTTCAGACCTAATAAGAGCTTTTAAGCTCTTAATTGGAACAAAAAAAACAAACACATTGAATCCTCTTATGTCTGATCGATTCAGACTTAAGAAGACATCAAGAGCTTTTTTATTAAAAACAAACAGCCCCTAAGAGTGGAACATGGGTCGGGATTCGGGCTTGAATCTTTTGTGCATCTTTACCACATTATATTTAGAATGACATCATTTTGGATTATTAACATGATGGTTATACGGTAAAAATATTTATAGAATATGATAATATATTTATATTAATGAATAATTAAAAAAAAAACCTAATTAATTTAATATATTTATAAGTGAATTAATTTTTTAAACAATTATAATATATTCTTTAAAACATAATATTTTTTCGGTAAAAAAAGTAAAAAAAAAAAATTTCTTTTTTCAAAAAATACATATTTTTAACGAGATAAATTGTGTTCTACTAGTTTTTATTAATATTGATATTAATGAATAATTTTATAAATTTTCTAATTCATTCAATATTTATTAAATAATATGTAAAATGTCTAAATAATAAAATATTAAAATTAAAAGTACAGTGTCGTAATAAGAATTGATAGATGTTATAATAAAATAATTTTAAAAGTACAATGTTGTAATAAGAAATGTCATATCAACTAGAGTATATGTCGACAGCCTACATAGACAGTGAGGTGACATGAAAAGCTGGTATAGTGGGTAAATATAAGAGTTTACCCAATGTTACAGTAAGTAATTTTTTTAAAATACAATGTCTAATAAAAAATAATTTAAAAATACATTGATGTAATAAAAAAACTGAAAGTACAATGTAATAATAAAAATATTTATAAAAAGAGAAAATGGCACCAAAATGGAACCAACTTTCACATGATTCCTATTGGGGAACCAACTTTCAAAATCGTCATTTAGGGGTCTCTATCAAACTTTTTGTTTATTTAAAGGTTTGGTTGACTTGTTAATGTTGATATCATCCAGATTTTTTGTCAATTAAGATATTCCACGTCATATTAATTTTTTATTTTAAAACTATTATTTCACGTCATATATAAAATTGCAAAATAATTATAAAAAAATAACTAAAATTCGTTTTTTTTCAAAAATTATTGCAATAAAATCTATTTTTCATTCCAAATTAGCACAACAAAAATTGTTTTTTACTAATGCAATAAAAAAAAATCAATTTAATAGAAAAAAATTAATTGATCTATAAAAAATAAATATTAAATATCACATTCAAGATTTTTATATCCAACCAATCTGTATCAATATTAAAGTTTAAATTAAATTTGGCAAATCAAACCAAAAGTTTGATAGATAGCCTTAAATTACTTGTTACATGTTCAACAGGTCGTCCAGACTCTTAAATAAACAAAAAGTTTGATAGAAACCTCTAAATAACAATTTTAAAAGTTGGTTTCATTTTGGTACAATTTTTCTTATAAAAATTGGTTAATGTTTTATTTATTTATAAATAATAAATTTGGATCATATTCTAATTTATGGTCATCATTAAATCCATAATATCTAAAAAGAAAGGTTTATGAAGTCAACATCTTGGAGGTTGTGTGGAATCATAATTTTGACATTTAATTGTGCTCAAGACTCAATGTGGATCAACATCTTCTATTCATCAATTATTTGAATATTAATTTAAAATACAATTATTTATTTTAAATTTCAATATCATCTCTTATGAGTAAATTGTATGAAAAAGTAACGTATTTTAACTTAATTTTTATTTTGGATAATGGATTTATATAACTTTTATTTTGGTACCTAAGATGTAAAGTTTTAACATTTAAGTATACAGGTAACCGGTTGAAGCATTAACCGGTTATCATGCTGATGTAGCGAGTGATATGATATTAACCGATTACCATGGTGGCGAGTGATATGGTATCCGGTTAATGTTTCAGCAAATAATACTGAGTTGGATACCATATCACTCGTTACACCAACATGGTAACCGGTTAATGTTTCAATCGGTTACTCGGATACTTAAATGTTTAAAACTTTACATCTTAGGTATCAAAATGAAAGTTTTGAAAATGCGTCACCTAAAATAGAAATCAGGTTAAAATACGTTGATTTTTCATGCAGTTTGTGCATCTCTTATCAATTAGAAATGAAATAATACTTCAAATTTCAGTAACTCTTAAAAAAAACAAATAACATCATAGATTTGTTGTATCGTTGAAACCTTTTTATTTATTTTTATTAGGGGTCGTTTACCAAATACCTGTCTGATAAATGTTTATCAGAAAGAGTCGTCATCTTGTCTTACTTTATCAGGTAACATTTTTTGCCATCAAAATGGATTGTCAGTAAGCATCTTTTACTTTGTAAGCATTTATCAAGTAAAAGTCTTTTTACTCATTTACTTGGTAAGATTCTCGATCATTGTTATGCTTCTTATCAAGTAAAAATCTCAATCATTGTCATGTTCATTCAGTAAGGTAAATGACATCTGATAAACTTCTAATAACTAATTGACCATTCAACCATTAGTACGAAGCTATGTAAATAATGAAAACAACGTTTCAACCAATCCGGTGGTTTTCGTTTCGCTTGATTTATAGGGTTTACGTATCCTTTTCTTCTGGGCCCATGACATTACAATAGATATACAACAATGACGCTAATACGCAGGATATGTGGAGACTGGACTGGACTGACGAGAGTGAGGTAGACGAGTGAAAAAATTAAAAAAGACTTTTTAATTTAGAATTGTAGTTTAGTAATTTATCTATCTTGTTTTACCTCTCTCTTTTTTGTTAGGACAAAACAGCTGCATTTTTGTCTCCTTAAACATGTCTTTGTCTTAGTTTAAGAACATCTCCAACAGATTCTTCTAAAATTTCTTCAAAATGGAGAAATCAAAATTCAAAATCTCTAAAAATATTGTATTCAACTCCAACAGTTTCTCCATGTAGAGACTACAACATTAACTGTATTATTATAATATGCTTTACATTATCTCATAAAAAGGTTTTTTTATTGATAGAAATATAGTAATGAGATATTTGGTTAGAGGTATTAAGCAGTAATTAATGGTAATAAAAACCCAGAATCCCAAATTTCATTTCAGATTAAACTAGAGAAATGAAAATTCATTCATGTTTTCATTATATGTTATTTTCGTTTTTATTCTCTTGCCTAAACCAATCGCCCCCTAAAAAATTATTTTCCAAATTGGAGAATTTCACTCACTTTCCTATTTTCTGTATTTTAGAGGATCTGTTAAAGCAAAAAAATTTGTCCAAGATTCTAAAAATCTTCATCTTGAACCATAAGGGGTGGTGCTTGATTGTTTTGAGCTTGAACTCCAAAGGTCAAAAGTGTCTAGAGGTCTCAGGTTCAAATTCAAGGAAAAATAAAAATCTTATTGTGGTCATGAAGGTTCAAATGCAGTGACTTCGTGCTACCCAAAAAACAAGTGGTCGTCATGCGATTAGTCGGCTCGCATACCGGGTTGGATATCTAGGTTAAAGAAAAAAAATTGTTCATTTTGGAGAACCTGTCAGAGATGATGGACTACAAATTTTGCCCAAGATCCCCAAAATCTCCATTCACTGATTTTTGAAGAATCTGCTAAATATGCTCTAATTGTCATGTCAAACATATGACATCGTGTTTTTTTCCTTTATTTTGAAGAATATGTTAGAGCAGAAATTTTGCTTAAATTTATACAGGTATTTGAATTGTCGTATCAAATGTAGAACAGGTTTTATCATGTCTTATGCCAGATATATATAAAAATATGTTTGGATCTATTATTGGGATTTGTTTATAAAAATATTAAATAAATAAATAAAAATATAAGATTTGAACATATAACCAATAAATCATGACCACTTGATAATGTAGCCTCAATTTGACTCGTGAAATGTCATTTTCTGATGGGTAAATTACATTAAAAAATAATGTATTTTAACTTGATTTCTATTTTGAATAACATACTTTCGAAACTTCAATTTTGGTACCTAAGATGTAAATTTTTAAATATTTAAGTACCCGGGTAACCGGTTGAAGCATTAACCGGTTATCATGTTGATATGGCGAATGATGGGATGGAGTTGGGTTGAATAGCAAATAATATTGGGTTGGATACCATATTACTCGTCACATCAGCATGGTAACCGGTTCATGGTTCAATCGGTTATTCAGGTACCTAAATGTTTAAAATTTTATATCTTAGATACCAAAATTAAAGTTTTAAAAGTACATTACCCAAAATAGAAATTAAGTTAAAAAAAAACGTTACTTTTTCATACAATTTACCATTTTTCAAACGATTTAATCGATCGGGATTATATTTTATGCATAAATAATTAAATAAATAAAACTACAAAATTTAGTTATAGATAAATAGATTTAAAGTTTGTTTAAAGTTATTCGATAACGACTCATAATTTTAATACTGATGTTATAGAAAATGAACAGAATAAATTGATAAATCAATCAAATCTGTTTTGATTCGTCTTGTAATTTATTTATTTTAACTCGTGTCTACAGTATGCATCTCGGCCCAATGTATGCCCCAGTTGTCGAAGGTTCTAGACTCGCCCACCGCTGCTCGTATCCACTTGGCATAGTTTATTACTCCATCCGTCTTGAAATAAACGTCTACATGAAATTGAAATTTTCTTCATCTCATAATTAAGAATAAGAATGAGAAAGTAGATATTTATGGGTTTTTTTTATTAACCTGGATATCCAACCTGTTATGCGAGCCGACTAATCACAGGGAGACCACCTGCTTTGCAGATAGCCGACTAATCCTAGGGCGACCACCTGCTTTGCAAATATCCCGAAGTCACCGCATTTGAACCTCCGTGGCCACAAGGGGATTTTTATTCCTTCTTGGATTTGAACCTGGAACCTCCTGGTACTTATGGGTTATTTACCAACCATTTATCAGCAAATGTTACTACTCACTTTATCAATAACAATCTCGACTTATCAAAATGGATTATTGGTAAGCGATTCTTAACAGGTAAACACTATCTGGGAAATAGTCTTCTCCCTACTTACCAAATAAGATTGCCGGTCATTGTTATGCTCATCTGGTAAAGTAAATGACATCTCAATGAATGCTTACACAGTAAGCATTGATGGACAGCTTCTTACTTTTGAAAAAAGACAGTTATTTTAGAACAAAATAAAAATATAGACAGTTATTTTCAAAATCTTAAAAATCCACGAGGCTAGACCTTTCATTTTTTTCAAAGCAAATTGGGTTGTTTGGTTCGTTTCCATTAGATCATGTATGGATAAAGTTGTCTGTATTGATTAATCTATTTGTATAGATTGTAAAGATTTTTGTTTATGAAGGTTTTTTCATTGCGGGAAGAAGCATGTTTTTTCATTAGAGGAGTCAGGTTCGGAAAATAACTTGTTTTTTTGCATATAGTTCCCCTTTAGAAGCTTACTGAATAAGTCACTTTATATATATCAAGCCATTATCAAATAGTCATGTATAGTTGGCCGAATAAATTGTAGGTCCCATTAAGCTCATTAAACAGCTAACAAACATATGCCCTAAAACAAGGCTAAGAAAGCCCATAATCATCATTCATGAATGACCACAAACCTACCCAGAAAACTCGAAAAATCTTCCGTAAGCACGAAACGCTTTGTTTCTGCGTATTTGTAAACGTTGGTTTCTAAAAGTTATAACAAACGGGAAAAAAACGATCTCAAAATTATACACAACTTGGTATGTACAGCCAAACAAAAAAACGGCAAGCGCTACAACGATTGCAGGGACCAGGAAGACGGTAACGATCCTTAGTAACCAGGGATGGCTGCAAAACGGTACCCTTGCGCACCCCTCCATGAATAATATGCAATTCGAGTCTCGTAGAACCCTAAAAACAAGAACCATTGTCAACATCGCTAACCAAAACCAAAATGCTGAAACTCCAAATGTCCGATTGATTGAGATGCACAAAGAAATATAAAAACTGCTCGAAATCTGCAAATTAACCTACGTAGTCATGTAATTCCAAACCAAAACCAAGACCAAAAAAGGATCGAGAATTTTTTTCAAGCGGTGGCACCATTTGACAATAAAAAACAAATATAGAGATATTTTTCAAAAAACATCACTGGTCTAATATGTGAGGTCCTGTATTCGAGTCTTTTAAGACTTCTATTGCAATTTTTTTCCTGAAACATAACAAGTCTAAAATTAAAAGCTAAAAACTAAGAAAACGGCACTAACGGGATTCAAACTCGGGTCTGGGGTGGAAGAAAAAAAACCTTGCAAACCAACTCTACCAAGGGAATGTAGTTTCAAAATATATACGATGGCACACAACAAATTATAAGGTGGCAATTTTCACGACCCTATAATTTTTTATACTCCGACGGAGGACGAAGCAGTGGCCTGTGCCACCACATTGATCCGACCCTGACCAAGACCAACCCAGTAAATCCCACACAGGGTAGGGTCTGGAGTAAGATGTGCACAAACATTTTCATCTACCCCAAGGGTAAAAGGGTAATTTTCTATTTTCATCTCCCCCAAAGGGTAAAAGGTAATTTCTACAAAGACCCACTGACTTGTAAAAGAAAAGGAACAAGAAAACATGTGTGCGTGTGCGTGTGCGTGCAAACAAGCAATGGAAACGATAACACAAAGAGGAGGCATATACAAATGTGAGAAAAATAGGTTATAATAGAGAAGGAAACACAAGAGTGAATTTGTTACCCAAGGCAAGATGGGACAGGACAAAAAAAAACTTATTGTTCCATGTTTGGTGCAACAGACACGGAGCGAGACAAAGATACATTTTTTCCCACCAAAATAGGTGGAACAAAAATCAAGGACATTAGACATGATTGGTAAATTACTAAACTACCCATATCAAATTTACCTTAAAACCTTCCGCAATTCTTTCACCTGCCTACCTCACTCTAACTCGTCCATATATGTCCAATCCAATCTCATAATCTCATCTACGTAACAAACGCACCCACAAAGTAAAATACCAAAAATTACTAGTACGAGAAAGAAATAAAAAACCAAGACTGGTGTACAGTGTGAGTTTGGTACGCGGGACGAAACATAACAAGAACTTGTCTCGCATTTGTGCGAGATTAGAATAGGACATGACATGATTGGAAAAAGAAATGCAATTTTTTGTTTCGAGGAGATGGGACAAGATTGGGGTGAATTACTAAATTACCCATGTCAAATTAAAACCCTAAAATCTTGCACAATTCTTTCACCCGCCTACCTCACTCCCACCTGTTCAGTCCAATCTCATATGTGTACCAAATGCACCCTAACAGGGGCAAAAATGCATTTTTTTTTTTTTTGTTGAAGAGAGATGGGAGAAGATTGACAAATTACTAAATTACTCCCTAAAAACCTTGCACAGTTCTTTTACCCGCCTACCTCATTCTCACTTGTACAATCCAACCTCATATGCGTACCAACACTCCCTAACAAGGAAGGACAAAAATGCATGTTTTTGTTTCAAGGAGATGGGAAAAGATTGGTAAATTACTAAATTACTCATGTCAATTTAAAACCCCAAAAACCTTGTACAATTCTTTCACCCGCCTACCTTACTCTCACTTGTCCAGTCCAGTCCCATTTGCATACCAAGCGCACTCTAGGTCAGACACGTAGATACAATGGTAGACAAGAAAAGTAGGAAACACTAAACCCACCCTCTATTTGCGTAATCATGGAGTAATTGTCAACATATAAAACTCATATAACACGTTACCTGCTACACAAAGATTAGCCGATTCTGATGACGTATAGAATGAAGTAATAATATCGTTAACTAACATACCTGGGAGGAAGGTGAGTGTCCCAAGGCCTAATAGGCCATATGCTTGGGATCTGTCTCCTCCCATGTGGCCGGTGAAGATGAATATGGCGAGGAGGAGAAGCACACATCCAAACACGAGAAGAAAAATTGCAAGGGCCACGGATTTCCAAGGGACTTTATCTGAGCCTTCAGGTGACATATCAAATCGTGGGTCAAATGAGCTTTCCCTACCGATATGGTCTTCATCAACAGCAAGTCGAGTGTAATTAATGTTCCGTCTAGACTTCATGTTGACTGATTTCAGCTCTGAATTATTGAAAAGTGTTCCGAAACACCAGAAGCATCCAATCAGAATATCAACCAAGCTGCTTTGAGCGAAACAGCAGAGTAAACAGCATGATTTAGCCATTTCGGTTAATTTAGGTTACATGTAAAGGCTACAAAGTCAAATACATGAACACTGATATAAAAGTGCAATGGATTGTCAGCCCACTAAATAATTGCTATACCATGACCAAAGATGTATCCGACTTGTGGGAAAGAAGTATCAAACCAAACCACACGAGCCCAGAATATCCCACCAGAAACCAGAGGGCCTTTGGCCTAGTGGTATCCTCATAAATTTTTCTGAGCGGGTGCACCTTTAAGGTGGATCAAGGGTCCACAAAGTAACAGTTTTATCTGGGGAAAAGTCAATGTGGTCTGACATGGGGAAAGGTTAATTGTATTGATTTGGGGAAAGAACTACATATTTTCAAATAGAATCAATTTTGATCTTTATAATAAATATATATTTCATTGAAAACGAGATAAAAAACGACTTTAAGATGAATTTGCAATTAAAAGAAAAATAAATCCATGAAGAAAAGTTATAAAATCAAAATGAGAGAAAATAAATATGAAATTGCCTTGGTGTAGTGGTAGTTAATTCTATATAAAAAACAAGACTTGAACATGGAACCTCTTGCATCTCATATAAGTATCTAAACCATCTCACCTATGTTTGATATTTGTTATAAATTTGATTTCAAAGTATTTTAAAGCACCCTTCAAAATCAAGCGGGTGCATCTTTTAGACGACTAACTTTTTTTCCTCTTACAATAATCGAGTGAGCGAGTGCACGGGACCTGCTCAGCTAATAGTGGGGTCGCCCCTGGCGGTATATGAGCCTTTGGCCTCCTAGGAGGCCAGGGGTTCAAACCTCACCATAGGTGAGGAGGGTGCGTGAGTTTATTTGTTGCATTTGCCGTATATAAATATCATATACTTCAACATATATATATATATATATACACATACATACATCCCACCAGAAAGTGATGTCCATAGCCAAGTTATGGGAAAGAAACATCACTAATGAGAATATCCAAATAAAGGTTTAATAGGAATCTTGAAGGACATGAGCGCCTCTCCTAGCACGGCTTGGAACTAATCCTGATTGAAGGTGAGCTACAATTCGTTTGTATATCCTAAATTTAGGTATGTCCCAAGGTGTGGTTCACTGTTCATGAAAGAAAGAAGACAAACGAACACTCTTAGGGTGCGCTTGGTTTGCAAAATGTTTTTGGAAGAAACGGAATATGTCAAAAGAATTGTAATTAAAGGAATTAGAAACGAATCGAGTTTGACCACACATCTGGTTGGCAGGAAACGAAATGGAATCTATCAAAAAAATTAAAAAATGTTTGGTTTGCAAAATGTAGCTTTAATATTTGAATGAGAAGATGATAAAGACCAAAATCCATTTTATGATATTTTTGTAGTTTCTTGCTTAAATTAAAATACTAGTTTACTATTTTTATGTAAATTACCATTTATTAAATAAAATATATACACAAACATGTGCAATGCAAGTATACATCCAAAAACAAAATTACCTTACTAATAACCCAAATTGTTCATGCATACGCAATATGTAGCTTTTAACAATAAAGTAACCAAGGGGCCGTTTACCTAAACACTTATCTAGTAAGCGGCTAAGCGCTTACTGGTAAGATTCAAAACTATCACTTACCATATGAGTTAAGATTTTAGTCCATCAAAATGATATCATAAGCAACAATTTATCCGGTAAGGCTAATCGGGTAAGACTTAAGAGTCGTCACCATCACTTCCAGCGTAAGACTCTCGGTCCTTGCCATCGCTCTTACCGGGTAAGAATCCCGGTTCTTGTCATGTTAATCCAATAAGGTAATGTGACTTGGTAGGCGCTTACAAGGTAAGCATTTGGTAAACAGCCCCCAAGTACTCATACTCATGTTCCAACAATAATACAAACAAGCTCATAGGCAAAATCCACTTGTATGGTAAGTGGTAACTAACACCGAGCATCATACCTGCTAAGGTTCCCACCATAGATGATGGCCTTCCAAAAGTGTAACGTCATATAGGTTTTGAACTAATTCATTTTGCCTAAGTACCCAAGCATTCCACTACCCATTGACTGCGGTTTATGAACTACCCATGGCAACTTTAGGCATTTCCGGAGACATGATCTCTGATAGGAGCTCTTGGAGACGCAAAATCAGGGTAGCAGATTAGTGGTCGGAATCTGTAGCTAGCCTTGACAGGAGGAAGGGTTGGGGTAGGTTCAGACTGTTAGTGAGCCGACAATTTGATCCTCCGAGTCCTAGATTAGACTAGAGATATGCATTCCTACCTTAGGATATTTTTTCTTGTACCTCCTTCTGTTTGTTTGTTTGCCTGTCGGTTTGAATGTTGTTGCTTACTTCCAACTCGTTTTCAAATTTTAGCATTGCCTTTCATACTTCTAAGTTCTTATGTTCTCGTTCCACAAATTTTTTAGCAAGTTTTATCGTTCCCTTTCGCACGCTTTGCAAGTTGGGGCGGGGCTTTAATGAAACATCCGCTTTCCTCTGACATATGCTTTCTTCAATATTCATTTACACAAAGCAATATCCAATTTGGCAGCAAATATTGTGATAAGTGAATGATCATATACTTTAATAAAAATAGCAGCAGGGGTGAAACACATAAAAGTGAAATAAATATAATAAAAAAACCTAAGGCCAGCAAACCAAAAGTATCCCAACACAAGCAAAAGAAACCTAGGACAAAACTTGATGAAGAAAACAGAATGAGGGAAGTACGCCAAACCTTGGTAGTCTTCTTGAATCCCGCCTCGAATCAGCAAGTACGGCCAAACGACCCCTCAAAAGTAAACCTGAAAAACGATTTTGTTGAAGAACCGCGATTTATGCAGAACGGATCAAGAGATGGAGTCGGGAAGAACAGAGCGAGTGGTGGAGAGATGGAGAGGTCGAGAAATGTAATTCAAATCTGCAATAAGTATTCCAACCTAAACATCACTAAATTTTAAAGAATTAAATTTCCAAAACTGTGCATCATTCTGAAATTATGTCACAGAAATCATGACCAACCTGCTCGCATTTTTCATTTCTTGGGTATTCAAAACAGAGTAATCTACCGATAACAAGATAACTGCAATAATGAGCATAAAAACAAACACACACATGCATACATATAATGAAAAACAAACACATTGACAAGACATGTGAACACCCATGCTGCAAAGATATGGGTGCATGATTTATGGATCCTGGGATTCAGGGATTACAAAAATCAAAGATACAGGGGTGCGTTTATATATGTATGTTTACATATGTAAGAGTCATAAACAAAACTAATAGAAGAAGAAAATTATTTATTGATTCAAACACTAAATATGTAAAATAATTACATACTAAAATAAAATCTAAGAGTTATCATATTTTGCTTTTAATTAATGTTTCCATATTAGTCCAAGCTATCAGAAAAATAAGTAGCTATTTCCTCTCTTTTGTTCACTTTCGCAGTCATAAAACTTAAGTTTGTTTTTTTATTTCAGCCTTTGTTTTCCATTTTGCATATTGTGAATTTCAGTTCTTTTTTTGGGTAAAAGGAAGATTAAAATTACCCCTTTTGGATCCCGGTTTTCATATCTCTGTGAATTTGTGTCCCATAATTTGGGGATATAGTAAACATCATATGTGCACCCCTGTAGAATGGCAATCCCAAAGCACCCAATACACTATTTAACAAGAGGGAGAAGAGTCCCTGCTTCCTAGGTGCAACCTGCATAAGCCACCTGTTTTGTTATGTTAAAAGTTTCAGCAACCCACCCGTCCTCAGTCCTCCTTGTGCTTTTATGCAATCTATGAACTGTACATAGCCTCTAGAAACCTCAAAATGGGTGTACCACACGTCAGTGATATGAAACATTATAATGATGATATACATGTTACATATGACAGAATAAATAGTTGGATATAAAGTGCAAACTCCAAATCTTTTGCAACTTATAGCTTCTTTTACTCTTTATTGATGTTTCCATACATATGTACGTGTGTACGTGTGTATATATGGTTTGTGCGTGTCTCTATCCCTACCTATGTTGCAAGGGGAAGGATAATGGGACAGATGTGAAATATGTGGCTGCTAGAATTTGATGATTCTATAAGAAAAGGATATTGGTGTGCGCTAGATATATGTGTGTTATATATAATATAAGCATAAAACAAACAAATAAATAAAAGTTATATCATTGTTTACATTAAATTTGCATCCCTAAGAGCATCTCCAACAGGTATGCTATATTTTCTCTTGTTTTTCCAAATTTAGAGATTTCTCCATTCTCTCCTCTTTTTCTCTATTTAAAAGGAGATTTTAGCATAGCTGTTGGAGCAAAGTCTTTCGAAATCTCCAAATTTTCTAAAATAGCATAATTGTTGGAGATGCTCTAGGATATTAAGATTTTACCACTCATAGTCTAGAGAAAGATATCTACCAAACTGAACCATGATACGATTTGCATGTCACATTATTATCCACGCTTACCAATAGTATCTCCTTGCTTATAGAACCATTTATTGAAATACAAGATCCTAGTCCATCAATATACGAAAAGAGAATGAAAATTTAACCAATATCATCAACCTTTAATAAAACCTATAACGCATTTTAAAATAGTTAACACCAAAAACATGCTCACGAAGTAATCAAACCACATATTCCGCAAGCAAGATTACCCGTTAGATGTAGTTCCAACCATTTACAACATCAAGCTATTTGTTTACACCATTTACCTGCATTTTTCATTCTGCTTTGTTGTGCCCCATCCTTGTTATGATGACATCAATAAGATCAATGCCACACTCAAAACCTTCAGAGATCAAGCCATTCATTTACACTGATTACCTCTAATTTCCATCCTCATTCTCATTGGTTAAGTCAAGTTTCTTCACGGAAACAACCTCCTTACCCCTAGGGGTAGGTGTATGGTTTGCTTATATCATACCCTCCCTGGACTCTCACTCCTGAGTCCTGGGTACATTTGGTAAAGTTTGTTCTTTGGACCCAATCCAATTCTCCCCACATCAAATCTTCGTTTCTCCTCGAATAATTAAAGACGGTCAAAATGTTGAAAGACCAAAACTAATAAAACCTACTCCTAACAATTATCAATGTAGTTTAAAGATACTGGGTTTTGATTCTTAATTGTGTCTCTTTAACTATCTTCAATAATCAACCCTCTTGAAGTAACTATCTGCTGAAGCTTACATAATAAAGTTTCTTATCCGTTGTCAAAATCCAGTAATCTACATCCTCAAATGGACTGATAATTATATGCTCTTTCACAACATCAAATTTCATTTGGAGACTCAAAACATCTTTTGTATACCTAGTCCTAACATAAACTGAAATCACCAAAAGAATTCAACACCATCGGTGAACAATAGTAACAAGGTTAAACCTCAATCGCTACTACGTCAAACTCGTCTAAAATTTTAGCGCAAAAATAACAAATCGAACAAGTTGATGAAAGCAACAAGAATTAGGTCAAAAAGGGAAAACTTACCAAGCGAATATCTTCAATTGATGAATCGAGAAGGCGAGAGATGAGGCGGCAATGGAGGTTTCAGCGGTTTAAATCCCCAATTCGGCATTCAATCGGGTCTAACTACTGCTGATTTTGTTCTTATTCAACAATGGCATCGCTTCTCCCCGTTCGTCGCCGACCACAAGATATCGGAAGGGGGGAAAAAGAAGTAAAGTACAAAGTTAGTCCTTGAACTATTCATTAATCTTCAGTTTTAGTCCTTAAAATATTTTTTAACCTATAGTTTTAGTCCTTAAACTATTTCTTCATGTACAGTTTTAGCCCTTAAACTACTTCTTAATGTTTTAAGGGTCTTTTACCAAAAACTTACCCGATAAGTGTTCACCCGCAAGAGAAATTACTCTCATTTATCTTATTATGTAACATTTTTAGTCGTCAAAATAGATTGTTGATAAACGTATTAAACCTGATAAGAGTATTTTTCCTCAATTATCGGGTACGACTTTCAATCTTTGTTATGCTTCTTACCAAGTACATTATCAGACCTTGTCATACTCAGTAAGACAAGTGATTCGTAAGCGCTTACCCGTTAAGCAGTTAGTAAACGGACCCTAAAAATAAGATTATAACTTTTTTAATCAATTTATTAACTAAAAAAGGATCAGAGTAAATGTAAAATTACAGGGATATTTATAATTTTAAGCGTACAGTTATTTATATAATCTAAAACTTGTTTTTTTCCGATTGGAAATGATGGTTATTAGCGTTTGTTACCTAAGGTAATCGGCTCTTTCATTGTTTTGGTTATGGCAAGTCTCGACATATGAACATCAGAACATGATATGGGATTTTTCAACTGATAAATTGTGTTTATGAGAAAGTTTAGAAATAGAAGACAAACAAGATGGATCAACTGTTCATAATTGGCAGCCAATCGAGACAGATCCCTAAAGTGATCCAACAACTTACTGCTGAAAGTCCAATCTGACCATATGATGAGGGGCGAACCTATGAAGGATTCAGGGTGGTCGCGTGCATCCGCTTAACCGGTTTTCACAAGTAGGTTTTTTTTTTTTTTTCTTATGAAATGTGCACAGGTTAAACTTTCAGGGGTGCTCTGAGATATTAGAAAGTACAAGGGGCATCAATAAAAAAACCAAGATATCCCTTGAAATCAATTAAAATGGAAAAAAGTCATTTCAAATCAACCAAATAAATTGGGAAACAAATCTTGAAAAAATGGAAAAACAAAGCGGGCTTATGCCCAAGACATTGTCTCGTGTCTTGACACGTTTGACTTTTCCACATATCAAACCGCAACTTTATGAGCGTTTCATCCGCTTTAAAGATGCATCAGTTCGGCGATATCTTGGATCCACATGCTGTATATGATACTCAATAATGAAAATGAGTTTCTCTGTGAAGACAACGAATTTTGGTGAAGTGGAATGGATGATTGAAGGATAGAATTATTCCCGGTTATGAATTAAGCATATATCCCAATAATTCTACTGTCACTGTGAGGTGTGAGATGCAAATAAAAATTCTCTTTTTGACGAGGTTGTTCAGATTCCGTATTTTTTCATAAGAACAATCTCGACAGGTTCAAATCCAATGAGGAATAAAAATCTCTTTGTGGCCATGGAGGTTTAAATGCGATGACTCTAGGTTATCTGCAAAGCAGGTAGTCGCCCTATGATTAGTCGGCTCACATGGCGAGTTGGATATCCAGGTTAATAAAAAAAATTCGACAGGATCTTGATGATGGTTATTGTGAAGGATGAACTCGATAATGAATTTCATTTCCCAAAAAAAATGAACGAGATTGTATGAACCACTCAATAACTTTGTAGTCATTAGTGATGGTTAATACAATTCGTGGTTTGGTTGGGTAATCAGTTGAAGATGTTCGGTTAAATCATGTTAAAAAAAACCTTTTACTGCTTTTTTTATATTTCATATGGTAAAATTACAGTTTACATGCATTTGTCAGTTTGAACTCTATAACAAACCCTTATGATATCCACGTTGAACAAATATAAATGAAACTGTATCAATAATTGGCTTGGGGATGCTTCAAGAAACAATAAACACAGATCATCCAAATTAACACTCTGTAAAAGATATATGTTGTGTTATATATGCATTTTTCTAAAATAGACCTGCCTAATGATTCTTTTGGATTTGGTCGTTTCGTTTATAGACAAATGATTTTCGATAAAGCGTGTATCCCATCAGTTAAAAAAACGAGTTGTGTGTTTCTATCAACGTTTTTTTACGTGGTTCCTGTGTTGATATGACACGTATCAAATGATCTTCAACACGTGGTCCGTTGTGACATATAGCATTTATTTATTGATGCTCCATACTTAGCAATCACAGTGACGCTTCACTGCCAAAGTAACGGTTTTGATGATTGCTGATAAAGCCATAAGTGATTACGTGTATTGTTACGTGGACATAACAAACAGAATTGTTAACAGTAAAATGATTCAATGAAGACAAATATATATGTGTGTATATATATATATATATATATAGGCCTAATCAAATGAGATCTTGATGTGGGTATCATAGTGGTTATATCTATACTATATTATAAAGCATTTGACTAAAACTCTTAAAAACTCTTAAACTCTTAAAACTCTTAAACTCTTAAAAATTCTTAAACCCGTTCATTCTTATCCGATTTCATCCCATATCTGAATTCGTGTAACTAACTGCAAATAAACACAATCAAATACAGGATAAACATCTTATTTTAAATATAAAAAATCTAAAATATAATTAGGATAATCATTAAGTTCTAAAAGAATACTTAATTATTATTTTTATAAAATATTAT